GCATATCGATTATATATACTTACTACTGCGGATTATGTAATTCCGACAGTATATCAATGGGATAATTTTACACTTTTATCGGAGTTATTATAACTGATTATAGGAAAGTACCTGGATGACCGGCTTCGCTCGGTATTTTTTTTTTGGTAAATTCTCTAAAAATGAAACCCCTTCATACTAAATTTCATGAAAATTGTTGGAGCCGTTGCCGAGATTCTGATTATATATATATCCAAAAATATATACAAGAATTGCTCGTTTAAAGGTATAAGATTCACGTGAATTAATATTAGAAATGAAATATTCGGCCACTATTCGGTATCCCGCTTTAATTTACCATCCGGCTGGGTACCGAATATTGTTCAGTAGCAGTATCATCAATATTGCGTCATCTCATTAATTTAAATATATTTTTGTTGTATCCATATGCAGATAAACAGAATAGTTGGTTTGATTACTTTTTTGCTGTACAGTTCCCATAGATACACACACTTAATACTATGTGACCTAAACTAAAAGTTTACAACGAAAATTGCTGTTACTGTCGTGAAACATTCTCGGCCTACATTTTGTGCATATTTATAGTTACTTCCTACAAGTAAGCAGTGTACATATAACTTTTTATAAAGATTTATTATTATTAATGCTAATTCCCTAATTCGGTCACAGACTAGTTGTCACCTACTTGTGAAGTTTACCTGGGTATGCCATAGGAATGTATGCATTATGTTTGCCCAGCTAGTTTGTTATAAAATAACTTAATACCGGTTTAATCTCATTGCGAACATTGAATAATATTTATATAACTTTTAAAAAAATCAGGAAATCTAATGTTTCTTAGTAAATTTTATATATTAAAACAAAAAAAATGTTAAGTAAAAAATCACGGATGTTCCAAGGTTTCTATGAATAAGGGATGCATGTCTAGAAGACTGCTACTCTCGTACTCTAAATAACTGAAGCTGTAACGCATTTATAAGAAAAACCTTGGATTATTGATATGTCTAGGTAGCCAATCAAAGCTGTGAAAGCTTCGGAAAAAATAGTGCCCAACTATTGGCCACTAAGTTTCTTTTCGCTGTCGATGTAGTAGACGCACACTAGTATAGATTTGTGCGCACACTACTAGCATATAAAAGTTAGTTCCTTTGTTTTTAGTTGTTTTGTAGTGCGACACCACCTTTTTTTTAGATAGATATTTTACCGCACGTTTTATTTTGCAAAATTATTTAACACGTGGGATCTATGTATATAGGACTATCCGCACAGGCGGAAAAAAAATCGCGCGAAAAAATCTGTGATTTGATACAGAATGACCGAAAATTTTGCGAAAAAATAAACGCGTGGTGAAATATCGCTGTGCGGACGGGGCCTAAATGATCTAAGAATCTAAGAGAACAACTTGCTACGGCCAATATGTCGTTTCTGCATGCGTCACTAATGCGTATTTTATGTGTTTGAGGTTTTAATGTTTATTACAGTTTGTGATAAAATATTTTTATGCAACTACCAATCACCTTTCTAATAATATGCATGATCAATCAAAGTTATTTCTTCACAATAATATATGATAGTTCTAATGTGTGGTATGCAATGCAGTGTCCATTGATAGAGTCAGTAACATGTCGGGGAAACACAGATAAGGCATCATGAATCGTGTTAATCTATGTCGGTGTCAGGCCAGTGGGCACGGCTACGTCACATCACGCCACTTCATTATCATTGACCGTACCGTTTGAACCTTGACGCAAGAAAAATACCTACAGCGCTATCTTCTGTTTTATAACTTTTCCATAATAACTATTTAACCAATTAGACAGATAAAACGAGCAGAAGTAAGCTTAAATGTCAGCCGTTCTCTTTAGCTATAGGGATGGCGAAGTCGAGAATTATGAGTAAATAATTTATATTCCGTTGTATATGAAGACAAGTGGATGGATTAGATCGGCTGATCCCGCAATATTCTCTAAAGCATAATGTATATATATATAAACCATGAATAATCTCGCAACGAACCAATTATCTTTCCAGCAATTAATCTACTAAAAACATGTATTTAAAACTATTGTTATGTCATACGATATTCCTAATGCGGGAGTTGATATAGTCTACAGTGTCAGTGTTACAGCTCTTAGATATTTGTACAAATAATCACACCATATAAGCATTTTTATTGTGTGTATTATATAAAGTTATTGGTTGATGCAAATTTTAAATTAATCTATACATAAAAAATTACTTGCCCTGTCTGGCTAACTGATTCATCCACGCAGGGCATAAATCGCGAGGGCCACACTTGAAATTTTGGCAGCTGATGATTTTTGTGTTGTAAGCACTAACTAAGATAGGCTTTTCGGAAATTGTAGTCCGAAAGTTCGTCATTTTCAAAGTTAGAAACACAAAGGAAAAAATAATTACATTAGTAATAGCTAGTTAGTAATATTTATTCAAAATTTGACTTGACTACAGGACTACAAATTTAATCTAAATCGGTTTAGCGGTTTAAGCGTGAAGAGGTAACAGACAGATAGGCAGACACACTCACATTTATTATATTAGTATGGATTGTGCTGAATGTACTAAAGCAACTAGGTTATGCTGAATGTCAGTAATAAATAATATATACTGGTTCACTACTGCACTACTTCAGAATTTCCCAAGGACTTAATAGAATTGATTGTGTGACCGATACAGCCACTGATGACGCAAATAGGACCTACTTTACAATCAGGTGATGGAGCGAGTCCACCTTTTACAAAACGCGATACCGGTTTTATATTTTTATTATCAACTCATTTTTTTTCGTATCTTTTTCCGGGTTCTGTAGCATACAGAATAGTTCAAGGCTCCTTTTGAGAACCTGATTATACAATTAACTATTTTTATTTATTTGTATTTATAAGAACTGTTAAGCTGAAAAACGATCTAAGTGGCGTGCAATGGGAGAGGCCGATGTCCAGTAGTTGACTGCGACCGGCTGATGATGTTAAGAACTGTTTTAGCATACCTAGGTGAAAACTTTTTCTAGTATAGGTAAAAAAATTCTAGTATACAAGAGCAGTACCGTCTTTACCATAAGGGCAGCGTGCCCAGGGCCCCCCATCGTCACGGGGGCAACGAAAAGCGAATCATAGAGTGATATATTCGCTTATACTATACATTTTTTTTATATTTTATATTTTTAGTCGCCACAGTGTTATGACATTGCGGAATGTGACAGGCAATGTAGCATTGCCAATCTTTCCAAATAGGAAATGGTTCTCCGTTTCGCCACCATCTAAACTTTTTTCGTGGATTGGGTGCATTTAGGTTCCGTTCTACGAACGTTTGAGAAGTGGGGATAAACTAGTAATAAAATATGTAAAACAGAAAATAAATTTGAATATTCAGAATATGTTAAATATTTAAATTAATGATAAATAAATAAACACAAATAGATAAGTAATTATAAAGTAAAATTAAGAGAAAGTCAAATTAGTTACCCACACCGTGTATTGTCAACGACAACACTGAACCACACCACTGACACTTAGTGTCACAGACGGACAGACAGACTAAGATATAACAGAAGTTTTCGGACAACATATATCTCGAAAGAAATCATTGTCATAATCGTAACCGATTAAAACCATCCATTCAACCCTGCTTATCTAATTAACACCGGTACTTATATATGTCATACCTTTATGTATCTATATGTACTTATCTATTTATTTCGTTTTACTGTCCAACGGGGCCCCAAATTCTTATGTGCCCGGGCCCCGGCATGGTATGGCTAAGACGGCCTTGTACAAGACTTACGTTTTAATTGTACTGTAAGTATTTTAAGTACCTTTTACCAAAATCCTTATAAACATAACAGTACCTATCACAGTTCAGAATTCTGTTTTATGCAAACAACTAAAATGGCAGACAATTATACGGCCAGCCCTCAGACAAGCTGTCAACAATTGTACACGTTTTTAACTCCTTTAAAAACATTTTAACGATTATTTGTACGCTTTTCTACTACAGTCTTTTTTTAACAATATGAATGAGGTCATATGACAGTTTGAACTTTCGAAGAAGTTGTGCTGTAATAATATAGAACCATTAAAATGTGCTCGAAGTGTCGCTGACACCTCGAACATTGATCACTAATCTAAAATTGACATTTGGAGACATTTGTAAACAGTGTATTTTTCTTGGAACGCGTTAAGTTGATTGAGATTTTTGCTTACATTTAATTATGAGGAATGAATATTTAATGTGCTATATTAATATCTTATTATCACATTGAATTAATACGAAAGTGGACAGTAAAAGTGTATTTACATATAATTGTGTAAAGTAATTTAATTCATTAAAATTTTTGGTCTATTTATTATTTTCTGTTCCACACTCGTTTATTTATTTGAAAGGAGAGACAGCTAAGGCGTAATTAAACAGTAGGGTTTTAAACGGTTTGAGTTCGAAACATCAGCTTCTTCCTTGAGATGGTGAGGACTATTTGTTACAAGTAAAGATCTCCTGATGGTCCATGGTCGACCATAATTACTATAGCCTAGCTAGACCATCTAGGACTATAATGTAAAGGTTATATTTTTACGAAATAAAAAATACTTATATGAGCCACAATTACTCGATTTTTTTTTATTATTATTGTTATAAAATTAATTGATACCTATTTCTAACATATTCAATATATCAAGCTTTTCATTTCCAATAAAGTTGAACTGACCTTGTATAGTCTATGACGTTAGAAAATGTAATACGTGTGCAGCTTGTTATCGCCGTTTTCACCTAAAATTTTTAAAAACACATGCTTTAGAATGATGATTTTACACTTTTTACACGATTATAAGCTATTGATATTCCAAATTTTTTACATATTTCTTTAAGTAATTTGCTTGGAATGTCAATTCTGTTCACATTTTATGTGTTATGTATTTATGAGTATTATAGATTGTAAACTAGTAACTACTACCTACCTTTTTAACTATATTTTTCGATTGTTACAGTCACTGATAACGCCAGCACCATTCAGTACAGACCCCGTAGCCGTGGCGGAACGGGAGCGTTGCCACTATGGCCGCATACCCCGCGCCCAGGCGATGGCTGGCACCACCCACCGCAAAGTACGAGTGTACTCGGATGGGATCTACGACATGTTCCACCAGGGACACTCCAGACAACTGCAGCAGGCCAAGACGGTCTTCCCCAATGTTTACCTCATTGTTGGTGGTGAGTACAGATACCTTTAAATTTGAGCAAAATAATTTCAAATATTTTTTTTATATCTACATACAAAATTACACGCTAGGGATGGCATAAAGTTACAATCACATTAAATAAATCATATGATTTCAAAATCATTTCATCACACCTGGTCTTATTTAAAAAACCACTGCTACTTCATTATTATTATTACACTAGCACAAGACTCGCGAAAAGTCTAAACGAAAAAAAGAAGGTCGTTATTTCTGATAAAAAGAATTTTGATTGTCTTTAATGCCACTTTTCTTTGTCTATGGCGAAATAACAATCACATGTGAAATCCCTGCGACTGAAACCAATCATTTCATCAAATAAATATGATTTAAAAGTAGCAATAAATTTCATGTTTATTACTCGCCCTGACTGACTGACTAATTCATCAGCGCAGAGCCTGTAATTTTGGCAGCCGATGCCTTTCATGTTGTAAGCACCCACTAATAAAAGGTTTTTGGATATTTCACCCCTAAGGGAGTAAAATAAGAGATGAACGGTTGTATGGAAGTTCTTCATTTTCAAAGTTAGAAACAGGAAATAAGTAATCACGCGAGCGTAGCCGCGGGCAATAGCTAGCTTCTTTATACATTTAGAAAAAAGCTTATATCATCAAAACCTGTTTAGATCTTTTTATAAATAATTAACTTTTAAAGATGTGGAGGAAGGGTGTCATGTCCCTCCAACTCAAAATGAGGATCCTTCGACCAGGCGAGGTAATCATGCCTGGTGGGCTGCGGCATGATTACCTTTATCTATCGAAGTTGTATATATGTTAATCAGCGAGAGAATTGTTAATATCGCGATACAGGATTAGCAGTTATTCCGTAGTTCGGTGTGTCCTCGATAGATGGCGCTGTAGTATGTTTCTATGTTTCACCGTATATGGAAGTCGCCACAAAGGTATCACCGATAATCAATGCTCCTGCATCATGATGAACTGTATTCAACAACTGTTTTTAGCCTTGGAGGTGGATTTGTTCAAACTTTAATGGGACCAAACGGAAAGTATACCTTTCTGAGGTAGCCAACATAAAAAAAAACACAAACAGGCGAATTCAAATTTTGCAGATCAAATTAAAAAAATATTGAAGGATGTCCTCTCCTTTTTTTGAAGTCGGTTAAGAACAGAAATTAGGTTTATATTTCATTAGTAGGTATATACATAATATGTTTTTATTATGTTTCCGTTTTGAACACATCTATAATAGTTGTCGTTTACTTTTTTCTTTAGCGTTGACGGAATAGGAAAATCCAAAATAATCACAAACAGGAAAACTGTATAAGTAACATTTAACAGTTCCTTTGTCAGTTTTCCTATTTTTACCTGAAAGCAGCTTTTTTCTTATTATTCTTTCATTTTTGTTTTTCGATTTCATACAATTCAACGTTTACGTAACGTAACGTACGAAAGAAATGTAAAATCAAGCCAAAACTACGTACCTATAAATGCTGTCCACTACTGAATGTAGGCCACTGCACTTCTCTTGAGGGTCAATTCTCGTAACAATAAAAATTCGTTTAAAATTCATTTTTGATCTACTCTCGATTACACAAATGTGATTAAAGGTATTTTCGTAGTAAAGGAGTAAAGTATTACAAAGACTAGCAGATTACCGGTTCAAAAGTAGATCGCTACTAAATTTTTAACGAATTTTTATTACGTAAACTGATCTTCTGATCTGCATCTGCACCATAGCCCACCATACACAACTACTATCATAGTCTTCCGCCTATTCCAGTTTACACCCCATATCCCGTCTTCAGGCTTCAAGTTCCTCTTATCAAACGAGTCCTAGAGACCGTAATTTCCCAGACAATGCTTTAATAATCGTGATGTCTACACATTTATCCAATTAATCACACAATTATATCATTAGGAAGCATTTTTATCACGCGATTCGATAATTTTAAAGGCCTTTAGCTTAACCTTGTTTTCATACAGCTTTTACATACTTCTTTTTTACAATTATTATATTTTAGTTTGTTGATTGATAGGTTACTCATTTGTCTGATTTGATAAATGTATGTGATCTATTCAAATCTTTTCAACATAACAATTTCCAGTATTTTATAATCAATTGAGTCAGTACGAATTTGAATTATATAAAAACTTGTATTGTTTTCAGTTTTTTTTTTTGCATTATTAAACTTCAATAGAACAAGAAAAAACCGACATAATTGTGTTGAATTATTAGGCCAGGGGACGCGACGACAGGTCGTTATCTCTTTGATTGACACTTTGTTATATCTTCTTTGGGTTGCAAAGTTTTTTTATTGCAAAACCTTACATTTAAAAGATCAATAATACATAAAATGTTTCTTATTCATCCAAATTAATTTTATCACCTTCAAAGTATGCTCCTTCAGAAACGATACACTTACGCCAACCAATAATCCAATCACCAAAACATTTTTTAAACGCTGTTTCCGGAATTGAGTTCAGTTCTCGCCGCGAATTCTTCTTTATGTCTTTCTACCGATTGAAAACGGGTGACACGAAGTGGTAATTTGAGTTGATAAATATGACCTGGTAAATATGGTGGTTGCTCGATGGTATTTGTTGAGCGTTTGGTCAAAAATTCGTTCACAATGATGGCCTTTTGCGAAGGCGCATTATTGTGGTGCAAAATCCAAGAATTTTCTTTCCACAAATCTGGCCTTTACCTTTACCTTTACCGTTTGACCTTCCGGTAAGAATTCCGAGTGCACAACACCGCGATAGTCAAAGAAAACAGTCAACATGACTTTGACTTTTGCGTGGTTTTTTCGGTTTCGGTTCAGTTGGAAGGCGCCACTCCGAAGCTTGTTGACTAGTTTGCATGTCAAACTCGTAAACCCACGTCTCGTCACCAGTAAGAATGCGTTTCATGAATGTTGGGTCAGAATTGAATCTGGTCTTTTGTGACTAGCCGAGCGCTAACATGTTTCATACCCAAATGATTAGTTAAAATGGTACGGATCGACTCGTGAGATACAGAAAGTTCGGCGGCTATCTCTCTCAAAATTGCTTAAATGCTAATAAAGAATTCACAATTAAATATGAGTGTGAAGACTAATTATTCCATCACTATTATTGTGCCCAAACACACGAGTAACAATAGCAGGTAGCTAGGTTGTATATTATTAATATTCAGAAACATATTTTATACAAAACCTAAGGATTTTATTCTGCCTCTTTTTTTAGGATTGTACAAAATGTTCCAAGTTTGAATTATGTCTTTTAAGTTTTATTAAACTCTTCCAAATGGCCTTAGCAAGGAACAACCCAAGGAGGTTATGTACAAGATTTTTTGCACATAATTCGCAATTGAACAAAAATAACAGAAATAATTTAATCGTCTGCTTAGACCTGAAACAAGGTACTTTCTTAAAACGGAATCGCGTGTGTGACCAGACAGTTTCGAGACGATTTAGTAAATAATGACAATGTAAAAAAACTAATAACATAGGGCAATTTCACTTGCTATTAATGATATTGCCGGGCAATATTAATAACACAATCACTTGGCCCATAACATCACAGGTTATATCTTCTTTGATAGATCATCCGAAAATAACGCAATGAGTACATGCTCAGTTTACTTTACGTTATCTATCACAATATATTTTAGTCCTTAGTAAGTGCACTGCAGTTATGAGTCACTGGTCATCGGGTATGTCTCGTGACATCAAGGCCTTATCGATTTATAACCACAATGACGTGTTAAATAGTTCTTTGCAATGTGGGTAATTGTAAACACAAATCACAAAACATATATGCATTCACAATTATAATAATATCTCCGAAGGGTAGGCAGAAGCTTATTAGATATCTATTAAGTAGGTAAATGAGACTATTTAGTCCCATTTACGTAGTAGGAGGTTAAGCCTAATGAAGTCAACCGTGCACTTTTGATATTTGGGATTATGGGGTATTGGTAGCTTTTATATTTTAGTTTAAAAAGAAGATAAAAAGAATTGATAATGGTATAAAAGGAATATTGCTGATACGGATGGAATAGGGATTGTAACCAAAAACTAGAGGTGGCCAGGATCGCATACGTGTAACTCGGATTGGTTTCTTGACGGAAAGTTCGTCACTTTAACCGAATTACAACAATAGCTTGTAATATCTTCAAAGTGGAAAAATGTTATTTACGGACTCAGAGTTAAAAAGTATGGCTATGAGTTGTTATTGCTCTAACTTTGTAATGTCTTATCCCATGTATCTAAACATCTCTTTCAGTTCATGGGGAACGTCGACATCCCCTAATCCCTAACAATAATAGCCTGCAACATTGACCAGCCGATTTAAGTGCTTACTTATCCGATAAGTGTCTCCAACTTAGGCCAAAACAATATATCCTATCAAAGTGGTTGTAGAACCTAAATAAAAATTACTCAGTAAGTAAAAACCGAAATTAACTGAAAGGATGATATATGGGCAAAAGCTTGTTGATAGTAGATGTTGACACCATAATATTTATTTTAAATAAGTCGCCTAGTCGGTGTCCTTTATAGAGATTACTTATGCTTAATTTTTTAGGTCCTATTCCAAACTTAAAATAGCACAGACATATACATACATACATACATACTTCATCATCTAAAGTGATCCTGGATGTAACTATGCATTATCAAATTGAAATAAACGAATAAGGACAGGAATGTGCTCTATAGAAAAATAAAGTTATGTTTTGAAGTAACTTAGTAATAACGTGGAAGGAATTTAAAGAGGAATGCTTCCCAGGAGACCCTTAGTGGGCGGCCATATAGGCTGTGAATTTGAGAGAAATATTATTAACATCGATCTAAGTGGTAACCCGCTGTTGTGTGTAGGCGGCCCAATATACTTTTAATTTTAGAACCCATGTTTAGTACTGGCACCAATCATATTATTATTATTCGCAAGTTTTCCAATACAACACTTTATTTCTGGTTAAGGTCAATATATCAGCATATTAAATTAGAAACTATTGATTGTACGATATCTACTAATAGAACTGTGTTACACATAGATGAATGTTTGAAGTAATAAATGTAAAGCGTATAATAACAGAGTGGTTCCTGTAGTTTTATTATAGCAGCTAGCATTTGACTGTTTAAGGTGTTTGCCAGCTACAGGGAAAATAAGATGTACGAAACTGATTTCATGTCTTTTGATCTTTAACAGTTTTATAAATGTAATCATTTTTTTTTATCCTGTTAAACATGTCTGGCGTCTGTATGTGTAAAGTAGGTATACATAATTAACTATTAATTCCATTGCAAATTTTCGGACTCAAGGACACAAGGCATAACCTAAAATGCGTACCTGTCCAGTGATCTATAAATCATACCTATATTTTGATTGCTTCGATAACAGATGATATATCCCGCTTGTTAAGCGTTATTAGGTATCGAGTTTGACACGTCCAAAACGTACTCGAAAACTTCTAAAATTATGATCTTGACCAATTTTGTTTACCAATATTATCAGTGGTGGACAATAACACAATGATGTTTTGTATTCCTGCCAATTTATACAACAACAGTCGAAAATATGTGTACCTGGTGAAAATTTCGCTTGTCTTTTCGTGTGAATGTATTTAAGACTTATTATTGAAACTTCTATTCACTTTTAGTGCACCTAATCACTCATTTCTACACCAACCCTAGGTGGACTGGCAGAATGTCTATGGCATTAAGTCCACCTTTGTGTATTTTTATTTGTCCATAAAGCGTTAAATAATAAAACACCGGTAACGGTTCTCAATGATTGAGTCTGATAATGGTATGAATACCACAAGCAATCTATTGGTGGATATTGGTCGTACGATGATTACGTATTGGCACGTGCAGAACGTAAACAAACCAATCACTGATAAATATACGTAATTATTATTATGTTCACGTATATTCACAATCACCGATAAGTTATTGATAACTGCATACCAGATTCTAATAATTTCATTGAGCCTATTAACAAAATCACGTTTCAAATCACGAGTTGCTGCTGAAACGTGCGATTCAATCAACAACGACACGAGTGCCGAATCATCTATTAGAAATTATGTGTATATGGTCCATTTACTAAGACTGCATTTCCACCCAAACTTTCAATCTACTGCAATTACTGCAGACACTTCTTACAACTTACGTTTTATTATAATTTAAGAAATTAATTGGGCATACAAACAAAGCATATCCCTTGCTTATATTAGATGATGTTATTTATTGATGGAATGGACGATGTTCTGGATTCTACCTACCGCTCAAGAAATGACATCATCGTTACTCTGGGAGCGAAAACCTGTTTACTTTAAATGCGCAACTACTGTTTATAAGAAACACTAAGAATTTACTTTTATTTCAGTATGCAGCGACGAACTAACGCACAACCGCAAAGGACGCACAGTTATGACAGAAGAAGAAAGATACGAAGCAGTCAGACATTGCAGATACGTCGATGAGGTAATTATACCGGTTCACTAAACTACGTATAGATATAACTGTTACCCGGTAATTTAAATCGATAAGGGTTGTCAAGCGTCCGGGCCTGTCTCTTATTTGAGACTAGCTGGTAGCTGGTTCGTTAGCTTGGAATTTGAAAACCGCTGCCTTAGTGGTGTAATACACAGTCCATGAGGCCTGGGACTCGATTCCCGGACCGCGCAAAATTTTATAGGGTTTTCCTGGGAGGAAAAATAGCCAAGTTACTCCTTATTTATTTATTACAAACTATATAGGCTACCTGGAAGTAAAATATTATCCGGCCCAGCCGTTTAGAAGTTTACCCGGCACAAACATTTAAACTGGTTTTTAGGCATAAATATCGTGTAAATAACCGTGTGAGCATGAAAATAACCTTTTATTTTGACATTACAAACAGACACTTCAATTTTATTTATTTATATAGATTTGTTAAAGTAAATATTCGTAGAAGTCATATTTGAACAGTTTCGTTTAACGTATATGGAGCGTAGATCTTTATTAGATTAGTCATTCTAAGTTTAGCAATCTTAAACATCATAAAACTAAACATAAACAAAAACAAGGTTTACGTGGAACGAAACTGTTTTTTTCGCTTCAACACAGTATTGTTAATTTTTTTATGAAGATATGGAACAGAACTAATTTTAGAAGAATTTAAAGATACCGGATAATGATGTAAAAACGATTGCTTAAATTAATATAAATTACGGTATATTTGGAGTTAACAACCCTATCACATCACGCGATCATTAAACGTGAACACTACTTTGCTGTTGATGGCGCCTTGTACTACGACCCGAGAGTCAATGATGATAAACGATCTAAGTTCTTAATTATGTGTTTTTTTAGTGTCAACAGCAATGACGAACTCTATTGACCCTTTATACATATATTTACATATATAAATCATTTAATTTGTTATCAACCTACTTGTGCCAACTTTGGTCGTTGTAAAAGATCACTTTTTACCGTTTAACGCTGAGCAAAGATTTTTTTTTTATTACTGAGCAAATGTAGGGTACAATAAGTGTTGTTATGTATTATTAACATAAAGTAGGACTAGGAACTAGTCTAGCCCGACTAGGAACAGGTATCTCTAGGTCTATGTAATCACACGAATAACTAATTAAAACCACTGTACTGTACCAATTTAACCACTGTCATCCATGAGATGAAACAATTATTGTGTGATTGTCGAATCTACAACCAGAACAATGTTATCTTCGCCATCTTTGTAAATATTATCTCTTTACTTTGGCTTACGACTAGAGCGCAGACATTCGTGACAATGTGGACGTTTTTGTGTGAAACTTCTTTATAATCTCATAGGTTTATCATTTAAAGCACGTTCTTAGTGCCCACATAACAATTCTTATCTTTTACCTGAATTCATCCAGTAATTGTAATGAAAAGAAACGTAAATTGTGACCTTGTGAGTCACTGCTCACAATTGTGCTAAAATTACGTTTCACTGTTCTCCGGAGTATAACATTCATTCCGAATGATTTAACTCTGTTTTGTGATCTGTATCTAAAAGTACCTATAATCATTATGGTCATAAAGAATCAAAATAATATTAATAGATGAATAGGATTCTTAGTACTCCTTTATAAGGAAGTATCACTCACGGAGGAATATTGTGATTGGAATACTCAGCTTATATGGTAAATAAACTGCAGAAAACTACCATTTTTAATTATTATCTGTTAAGTTTATGTATTCAGTATATTAACCAATTGATCTGTCATAGTACGGAATTGTCTGTACAATAACAGTGCAAGGTTATTGACTGACTTATATTCGAACTTTGAACACTAGGTGAATCTTGACTTAGATAAGCATTTTTCTTAATACACAACTATTTTAATAACGCATTAAAACAATAGGTAAATAGACAAATGTTTAAAATAACGATTTATATTCGCTGATCCAAAGTAAGTTGCAACTGTCATATTACATAGTGACAATCGCAGGTTGTTTAAACATGGTTCCAAATAATAAACTGCATATAATTACGAGGTACTGTAGAATACCGACATACTTCTCATGAATGACATTGTTACATGTGATAAGATACCTAAATCGCCTTTAGCTTTATTGGAATTGTATACGAAAGAAATGATAGACTAATAAGAAAACATGAAGATTGAAACTTTAAGATATAAACTGTTTTTTGTATGTTATATATATAAAGATATATATGTATATAATTAAAACAATTTGACTGCACGGATGGCGTAGTGGTTTAAGCGGTCGCCATGCCGCTTACACGCTGAGGTGGCGAGGGTCCGATCCCCACATGGGACGACACATTGTGTGATCCACAAATTGTTGTTTAGAGTCTGGGTGTTCCTTGTGTCCGTTTTATGTATGTTTGTAAAGTTGCCCGCGACACAGGATATATTCCTAATGTGGGAGTTGTCTTTAAAAAAAACTTAAACATTATATTAGCCCATTTTATTCCAATTCCAAAAGCGAAGTAGTCTATGTTTTTTGTCCCTCTGATGTGTATAACAGTATAACGATTTAAACAGGTTTTATCTATTATATTTCTTGCACACATGTTTTTATAAACCATAACATTGACGTAATATTAAAACAAGAAAATGATAGGTTATGTTGCCTACGTCAATCGTGAAACAATCTGAATTGTTTGATTTTGATAATGTCGGCGTTAAGTTGACGTAAAAGGACGCAGAAACACCGAAGCTTATAAGTATTACAACAACGGATAATTATTATAAAACAATATGTAGAATCGGAACAATGATGTGGTTAAGATCGATCTTTGTTTTAAAGATATGGTAGATGTACTATTACAAAAAAAAAACGGGACGCCCGACAGAAGTGATAACTTAAACTAATCTAAGTTGAACTATTTAATATTGAAATTATTTAATTTGAAAAAAGCTTAGGTTATTACTTAAATTTTATATAAATCGTCTGTCGGAAATACGGCTAGCGCTGTGGGTTAGAGTGAGTGAGGAGGAGCCTGCCTACCGCTGCTATGTGCGTGAGAGAAAGAGAAGCCAGACAGACTGACGCCGTTACGCATTACGTAACGAAGCGGTTTACCCTCCCTTAAGAAGTTATCACTTCAAAAAACCTGACAGACAGGGATAAATAAACTAAAAGTTAGTCTGTTTTCTAGAATATGTACGAGGTATTTTTATGACTCTATTATGCAATTTCTATGTAGATTAAAACACATAGTATTTTAAATGCATACTGTTATTGTTAAAGGAGTTTTATTACGTAGCTTCTATCACACATTTTGCAATTGTTGTAGAATACCCGCGAATGGCGATCGAAAGTCGACTGTTTTGAATGTCTGCCATTGTACGGGATAAGATGAACTTTTATTGTTTTCTTTACCCTACTTTTACACCATGATAGTTTAAAGTATACGTAGCAGTCTTACTTAATATTAAAAATAATTATTCTAAATTTAGACAGGAAGTCTGTGAGCATTTGCTAAAAAAATTAGTACAAAGAATTCTCTTCATTTATTAATACTTGAAACTAATGAATGAATGTAACACGTTTATTAAAGTGGTAATTTTCTGCACTTTTTATACAATACTATAAGTACTTACTAAGAATGTTACATTCCTCTGTTTATACACCGAAATCCATAAATGCAATAAATTGTTAAAAAGTAAGATTTCGCACAATCTTAATACATAAGTCACATCTACGTTCTAGAATGTACAATTATTTTAAAGTTATTTTGTTTCAGGTCGTAACAGATGCACCCTGGGAATACAGCGAGGAGTTCTTAGAGAAACACAAAATAGACTTTCTAGCACACGACGACATTCCTTACACGACAGAAGACTGTGAGGACACATACGCGCTCATCAAGGCAAAAGACATGTTTGTCGCCACTCAGAGAACAGAGGGTGAATATTTAACTTTTTTTTGATAATACTTGTAAATAATGAACGCCCTGTCTTACATCCTTGCTAGTAGCACTAAAACCATTAAACTTTTTTTTCTGCCATGACTGACTGCCATGTTAGTAAAATTGACTGCAAAACAGAGGTCGTCGTTCCATTTCATTCAGCCAAGACAATTAATTATGTGATGAGCACAATCATTTGTTCTATTTCTGGGTATAATTATATCGGTCTGGTTACCATAGTACACGCTCCGTATTCTATTTGTACAATTCGTAAAATTACTTCAGGCGAAAAAACAATGCCTCATTCTTCAAAAAACCCATTTGTATAATGGCTTATTCTTGGAAGGATAAAATACTTGCCTGGTTTAACATTAACACTAAACAATTGGTAATTTAACAAAAACAATATTATCATGTATTAATGAGTGAAACTGTATGGCAGTAGTTCGGCGACTTCTATTGTTTAACTACTACTACTATTATTTAATTTCAAAAAGCAATGCTTGGCATAATCGCTGGCATTTCGGAATTGAGATAAAAATGCTTTTGGCTCGAAATCAACGTGGTGCACCATAGATTTGAATTCAAGTTTAACATAACATTCAAGCATTCGTAGTCAAGGTTAATTGAGATCTAGAGATATCTAGAGATACTAGACTCGAGATCGAAGCGAGAGATTAAACTCACAACCCAAACAAAAAATTGACTTAAAGAAGATAGTATACTTTAAAGCGTAGATTTGATTATCGGTTGTGCAGTGGTAGCGTATGAGACTTGTATGCTGAGGTCTCGGGTTCGATTCCCAGGTCGGACCAAATGTTTGTAAAATATGAAAATATTTGTTTCGGAGTTTAGGTGTTTTCTATGTATATTATGTATGTATTAACAAAAACCGACTATGGGTTTGATTTTCATAGACCAGTATAACTTAAACTATCATCGTAGAGACTTACCGCGTAGACCATGACAGGTCACAATCTATACTAGACTACTACACGTAACCTAACGTTTACGTAACTTTATTTTATTTTGCAACATTAAGTTTGCCGAGTTTATGCCGCACGGAAGCGTATAGGTATATGCTTCCGTGCGGCAAAGTTACCAAGAATTTCTTCACGTTATGTTAATTTTATTTTATTGATATTTATAGTTGTATAGTAGTTACTAGACGGAAAAAACACCTGAAAAATCCAATCCATCCATCCGAACAGCTCATCGCAACCTTACAATTCAATATTATTATAGCAAAAGTACAAATTAAATAGTGTTACAGTTATGTACGCATGCTAATACCACGTCGTAATTAATAACAAAATTAACCTGATAAACAAGAAACACAAACCTAATAAATGCAATGGAGCCCATATTTTACTATTAGTTAACACGAAACTGGGGCCTGTTTATAGGTCGACTCTTATGACTTGGCCTTGAACAGACCTCCAAATTATTTTTCCGCGTTAAAAACAAAACATACGAGTCTATCGTTACACATTCTTTTGTTTTATACTATGGCAATTTTTTTCTTAAACTTTCTTTTTTCATAGTCGGTTATTCATCGTTTTTATTTAGAAATAAATAGATAGATACTGTTTATTGCAAGCTAAAAATCAAACGGTGCAAATAATATTAAGTAGCAGTAATGGGGAGGCAAAAGTCGTTGCCAGGTCATGCCAGTTTGCCATCTTTCATAGACAACCTGTAGATGGTGAAGTACCTAGCAATTGATATGTAAATATGTATTGTATACTTAGTAATTATTATTAAAATATAATTAATGACCGGTGAAAGTAAATAACGATATTATTGTTGTTTTTTAAAACCATTTTTATTTCGACTGTAACATTTGTACAAGATATTGCACATAACTTATAACTACTTTTTTTACTATATGTAAAAAAAATATGCTTTAGAAATGCACAAATTATCTTATTTTCTATAAACGTAATATTTTTATAATAACTTTAATAGTTTTAAAGTAAAAATATTGGTACTGTAATAAACGATAATTTAAAAAGTTATGTTTTAAATTACTTTTTTTACTATATGTAAAAAAATTATGCTTTAGAAATGCACAAATTATCTTATTTTCTATAAACGTAATATTTTTATAATAACTTTAATAGTTTTAAAGTAAAAATATTGGTACTGTAATAAACGATAATTTAAAAAGTTATGTTTTAAATTCGTAGTTTGTACACCGGTATTTTTTTTCTGGGAGTCGAACACATACCATGAGTCTAATACGCTCCGTTGTAGTGAATAATTAATTGCAGACGATCTACATTGCCTTTTTGTATTGCAGTATAATATACACTCACAGGGACGCTTATTTTATTGTAGACTGCACGGTTGGCGTAGTGGTTTAAGCTGTCGCCACGCCGCTTACTACTACGCCGATTGTTGTGGGTCCGATTGCCACATGGGACGACACTTTGTGTGATCCACAAATTGTTGTTCTGAGTCTGGGTGTGTTTTGTGTTCGTTTCATGTATGTATGTAAAGTCCTCCGCGAGACAGGATATATTCCTAATGCGGGAGTTGTCTTTTACAATAGTAATATAAAATAATATTGTCTAAATTATTATTGGGATGACTAATAATAACTTCACACATCCCAAACTAGGCAGAGCCTGTGCTATGGTGACCGCTGACAATCATACTTAAATATTTCTAAATACATACATATTATAGATAAATTACACCCAGAGAGAAGAAATGATCATGCTTATCACACAGTATTTTTTCTGGGTCCACGACCTCCCGCTTAGTCATCAGGGTCACTAACCACTAGACCAACAGACCCGTCAAAGAAACCCATGCACATATACATCACCTGATTAAAGTTCAAATCACTGTATCCCCCCTCTATAAATATGCCCCTCACCTCTCCCGACCATCCTTTGAATTGAGCTTGAGATTGAATAGCCAATATTAATGATCCGTAGACGTAACTTAATAATAATGTCCCGTTAAACTATAAAAAAACAGTTTCTCTTTAGGTGATGTTAACGAACTGTATTTTTTATTCATAGTAATATAAAGTTCGTAATATATATTGATGGTTTAAACAGTAAGCCGTCAAAAAGTAAACAGCTTTGGTGCACAACACAGTAACCCTTGTGGCACCACAAGTCTTAATATAGTCTCTCATCAACATCATGGCACTACTAGGGTTGATTGACTTCGGTCTTCAGTCTCCCTTATGATTTAGGTGTGTCGCTATCAGAAATATTCTCCCCTGTTTCAAAAATTGGGTAACACTGTGTCGTAATGCTTATGAAATTAACCAAGGACTTTCCAATATAAAGTATTAATTTTCAAGCATTGCCAGCTTGTTTTTAGATATTAATTAAATAACTGACCTGAAGGGGAAAAGAACGAAGGATCATCTTAAAGTTAAAAAGAAAACTTTGTCATTTATTTGTTTTGGTTAATAAAAAGTCCACCATTTTTGGTCAAAAGCTAAGCTCAAAACTGGTATGTTATATTTAGTTTTTCTTATTTTTCAGGTGTATCAACATCAGATATAGTTGCACGGATAGTACGTGATTACGACATCTACGTAAGAAGAAACCTGGCGCGTGGCTACTCCGCGAAGGAGCTCAACGTATCTTTCCTAAATGAGAAGAAGTTCAGACTACAGAACAAAATGGACGAGCTCAAAGATAAAGGCAAAAAGGTATATTATTTTGTATAAAGATCTTTATATCTTTTTCCTGTAAAAGCTAAATGTTCTAGTGTATGTCTTATTCTTATTGTCATAGAGTAGACTAGTTAGTTTATAAAAAGACCTAACACCATAAACTAACACCATTTTTTTAAATAGAAATTTCGTATAGGTTCTACTAGAATTTAGTTCTTTAACTTGTGTAAGGTAATTAAATTGCCATTTTTTTCTTATTATAAACTCCATTAATGAAACTGATTATTTCTAGACCTAGAAGTCTAGAAAAGCCAAAATTAAAGTGCCTCAAATAAAAATCATGTAATGTACTCATTTTCCCACGAAACGGCATATAATTAATATTGATAACATGACTTACTAGGTAGGTACTTTTCAAAAATGTATGTTTTTTTTAGCAGCAGCTATAACATAGAGCCAACGGATTAAGTATCAGATAAATGAATTACAACATTGTGTAGGTCTGTATTATGGTGTATGGTGTTACAATATTGTGTCATGCACAATTAAAATCAAAATTATTATCATAAACTTATTAACTCGATAATTATTAATTGGATAAAAAATGTGTTTAAATATTTAGAGATATCGTTATCATCATGTGTAAAGAAGATATTGATATCGCCGGCATGTTTTTAAACATACCGTCACTAAGCTTACAATGTTACTATGCGACCATACTTATTACCTATAAAAAAACAAAACTGTTTAAAAACAAATTGCACAATAGCACAGTGACGACTGTGCGCTTTACATCACCTTACACACATACACAAATCACCTTAACCTAAATTAATGATCAAAAAATAATTTGCAATTATAAAAAATTAAATGAATAACAAGTATAATTATATGATAATTAGATCATTCAAACATTCTTCGGCTAAAATATAAGTACATGAAATCATGTCTAAATTAATGAAAAAATGATGTCAGACTAGCTCAGTTTATATATTTTATACTATAATATCGACAATACAGATGGCGTAGTGGCTTAAGCGGTCAACTCACCGCTTCTTACTGCGATGAGTGTTGTGGGTCCGATCCCAACATGGGACGACACTTTGTGTGATCCATGAATTGTTGCTCTGAGTCTGTGTAGTCTTTGTGTCCGTTTCATGTATGTTTGTAAAGTCCCTCGCGACACAGGATATATTCCTACAGCGGGAGTAGCCTATAAAATATATATATATATATATATATATATATATATATATATATATATATATATATATATATATATATATATATATAATACAGAAACTATAGTATTGTCTACCATTAAGTAGATAATTATGTTTTATTTTGAAAATAGTGTGAATCTCAAATCCATGAAAACTTTTTCACTCAAAATAAAATGGTACGGCATTAGGTACTAAAAATCTTAACTATTTATAACTAAAAAATACCCTAAAATCGAGCCTTAATTTATTGTAAAATTAGAAGACGCCCTTTAATTTTCTGCTATTAAACTTTGTTACATAAAATTTAACATGATACAATTCTACTTTTAGGTGATGACAGATATAGGTGAAAAGCGAGTGGATATACTAACAAAATGGGAGGAGAAGTCTCGAGAACTGATCGGCGCATTCTTGCTTCTGTTCGGCCCCGACGGACGCCTGTCCAACATCTGGAACGAGTCAAAGGGACGCCTCATGCAGGCGCTCAGCCAACCACCTTCGCCGAGAGGATCACCGCCACCTAGCGAAAATGGGGATTCAGACTCGCCTACACACAGGTGGATATTTTTATTCTTATGAACTTCAATTATATTCTAAGTATATTCTAGTCAATTTTTTTTTATTCATTCAAAGTATTAATAAAATTATAAGAGAAATTTGATATACATAGCATATCCTAAGCCATGAACGTTTATAATAAATGCTAAGCGTTAGCCTAGATCGATACAACAAATATAAAAAGTAATAACGTAAAAAAAGAACTGCACACGGTATAGAACAGTACTACATAAATAGAAAAAGGGAAAAATATAAATAAAAAACAACAGAAATTATTAATTTTGATTCAAAATAAAGAAATGAAAACTAATTGAAATTTATAGTGTGTTTGATAGTTTAGGACCGGTTTGACCCTACATCTATTGTCATTGATATAAAAAGTTATTTCTCACTCAATCCTCCTCGACCTATTTGTTTTGTAAAAAAATATAGAGATACTTGAAAATATTTAAAGAAATGTGATGGTTATCACTATTTATTTTTTATAATTCAAATATATATTTTTTATAATTTAATACTTCCTTGATATGATCACGTGTTGCTATTTTATTTATAATATTCATGTGCATATTTTACTGCCCAATGATGTCATAGTTTACAATAAAAATTCTTCAGGTATTAAAAATACACATTGACTATATAATTATATGATTTCAACACGAGTAACTCATAAATGTTGTTTTTGTCACAACAGAGGTTCCGCGTCACCGCCGCCACCAAAGTCGCGCCGCTACGCAACGCTATATGAGCCGCAAGCAGGTAACTGGGTAACTATTGCGTGGCTTGTACACGCTACCCTATATTAACACGGCTTAGAAAGCTCAATACGCGACCCTTATGGTTCCTACAATACCTGTATAGTGGTGACAGATTAAGAATACAGAATGTCACCACCCCTACTTATCCCGTAGGTGTCGTTAGAACCGATTCAGGGATCAAACTATGCAGGACAACAGCACTGCAAAGAAATGGAAAACTTGGCTTTGACTTATGAATGGTGTATTAGTATCACAGCATATTGTTTACTTAGCCATTTAATTTCTAATTAAGCGTATTGAGCTTTTCGCAAGTATGCATTTTAAGTTTGCAAACGCATCGATTTGAAGCTTGTCTATGATATTATAGCGAGTTTTAATATAATTAGAGTAGTTTAATAAAGCATGATGCATCCCGTTGACATATTATATACTATTGCTTAGTACAGAAATTAGATAGTGAACAGTACTCATTCATTCCTAGAGAAAGCTATCATCGGACTTAGTAGGTCATAATCACATGATAGCTTTGTTTTTAATATTTAGTTATTGTCTCTGGTGTATAAATTACTGTAAATCATTTAAGGTAGTTTTATTTACTAAAGTATCAAATTTGAGATCAAATGAAAGTCAGATTCTTCAAATGTAAAAAAATATGATAATTTGGATTTAGAATAGGGTAGATACAATATACTTTCCTCTTAAAATTCAGTAAAACATAAGCGAACATTGACCGTGAAAACTATATTAGTTTCATTTTTTTTAAATGTTTTACCAAATATTAAAATGAAATAATAATTTGGTTTGTCGTGATAGCGATAGTTTGGTGTGACGTCATAACTCTTTATCTTTATATATATAATTCTTCTGTGAGTGTGTATGTCACTGAACTTCTCTCAAACGACTGGACCGATTTTGATGAAATTTTTTGTGTGTGTTCAAGGGGATCTGGGAATGGTTTAGATTCACAATTTTGAATGGTAAGGGTGACCCATCCCTAATTTTTTTTTTGTTGCAATACAACGTTTGCCGGATTAGCTAGTTTTATATAAATTTCTATATAACGTATTTGAACGTTTGATTCATTTGATTTAACAGTCATATACTGTGTATACATAATTGTTGGATTGATTTTTCGGTCGTGCTGTGCCCAACGCTTGATATCATCAACAGCCTATAATAGTCCACTGCTGGACATAGGCCTCTCCTTAGAAAGGAGGTTTTGGCCTACTATACCACGCTGGCCAGACGGGTTGGTATAGGGTTTGTGTCAAGTTTACCTTCTCTTTGCAGTGCTGTTGTTCTGCGTAGTCTGCTCCCTTAGTCGGCTCTTACGGCACCCACGGGATGAATAGGGGTGGTGACATTCTGTATTCTTAATCCGTCACCACACGGATAAACGCTTGATAACAACAATAAAATTGCGTTCCATGACCCATTTTAAGAAAAGATTCTGTAAGCGTTATTTCAATGCTTTTTATTCTTGCTACAGATGCATCGAGCTCTGAACGCGTTGGGGAAACGGAAGAGGCCGTACAGCGCCAGCTGACCGATGACGGCTCAGACGAAAGCGACGACGAGTACCAGGACACGAGCCCCTACCTCTAGGCCACAACCACAAGACACAAACTGACATTAACAGTGGAAATATATACATTGTATTTTTATGCCGTGTACATTGTCCATTTTTAATATCACAATGAGAATCTACCGCGGCGCAGCCTCTTGCCACCGCGGCCTTTGGAAGCCCTCCAGAGAAAAATCGTAGTATGGAACGTCGTCTAAATTTTGTATGTGCGTTGAGTACAAGAGCAAATGTATTTAATTAATATTATGTTTCATAATATTATGAATTTTTAAACCCTATTATTATTTATTTGTGATGTTAAGTAGATTTAATTCACTCCTCGCCCCAACATACTGCAGATTGTCTGCGTGTTAGCACCAATGAATACCATTATGTAAGATAACTGGTGCAAAATATAGAGTTGAGATATTAATTTTATTTATATAGTAATATTTAGATGACACTTTTTGACAGTCGATTAAAAAGGTGCTTATATAAATCGTCTTTTGTTTTATTACATAAAGCTGCCCCAATACCTCGATTTCTTTCGTTTTCTTATGTCATATAACAACAACAATACTGAACTATTGATATTTCTTCTATACTTAATTTTCATTCATGCAAAGTAATAATTGAATATGTGTAAAAAGACCAGTAGCGGGTCATCTTACCCTTGAATTATTCGCGAATAATAATGTTCTTTCATTTAAAAAAAAAACACCTTAATAGGCGGGTCCGAGCACCCGACCCACAGAGTGACTCGAGCATATCAATCTTTAATATATATTGTTTCGAAATGCGAAAGAGATGCATTTATCTGCCATGACAGTGGGGGATTAACCCTAAGGCAAAGTAGGCACGTGCCTAGGGGCGAGAGGTTACAGAAAGGCGTGCATGCGCAGATTTTATTAATAAAGATAAAATATGCCTAACATATACATAACTGTGTTAGGAAGTAGGCACACATAATTACACAATATAAACAATTCCTTAATTGTATAGAGATGCTTAAGGTGACATCTAGGATTTATATTACGTAATTGCCACTAGGTACTTCTTTACTTTCAGTTTCTGATCTCTACGAAGATTGAGGCTAGTGCGTGTGCACAAGAATGCAGTTGCTACTAGCAAGCTAGCTAGCTACTGCTGCTAGCTGGAGATTATGAGTTGTAGGCCAGGGTTGTCCAGTCAATGGCCCTATACGGTGCAACAATCTCAACTGAACGAACGAACAAATGTTACAATGTATTATTAATTAGAAATTGATGACTTTTATTAATTCTAATTAAGGCGTACATTCCAAATATTTTTAATTTTCTGATGTAAGAGATGCTTGACCTTCGTTGCTTACATTATTTTGGTCTGAACTATTTTAGGTGTCCGGCAGGCGTTTGACGGAGTATATCATAAGGAATTCTTTGGTATAAGTAAAACATCCACACTTGTTCTTTCGACTTCTGACCTTCTCACTACCAAATTACACCGTTGTGCTTCCCTGTTCATCATTTTGTCTCCCACTTTGCTAAGGAGGGAAGTGGATTTACTGTATTTCCAACTCCCCCAATTTTCTTCTGATTAATTTCGTTGCGGGTTCCAAGACAGTTTAATTTCTTCCTGGGACTTCCCGAGTGTCATAACTCGGTCTGTTCGTGGGTCACTGCTGTGGATCCTGGAGTACAGTTGTTACAGTGGTGGGCGTGTGGGTGGGATTAGTCCCTACCAAATTACACTACCTGTAATATCATGAGCAATGTTTTTTCCCTTCTGCACAACTAACCAGTAGTGTCATGGGTAATTAAGGAACGGTCTTATATCCTCCTGACTCATCGTAATCCCAAATTACAGTACCAATATCCTCTATTAATATAACAATAGTGTCATCGGGCATATTTTTCCTATAGTTCGATAATGACCACTTTCTTGAAATGCCTACCTTGTCTATGCCATGGTATGCGATATGGTGGACTTAGTGTGAGGGGTTTACGGTTATTAGTTCCCTGGTTGAACCGACCCATCGGTGTGTATGCCAGTGTGACTGTAATACCATAAAAATGTGCCATAAATAACATTATAATATTTTCAATGTATTGATATTGCAATGAATTGTCATTTACAGACTAAACCTCTAATAAGGATAGGCCTATAAATATTGCATATAAAGATGTCCTATAGTATGATTAAAAATCCATACTGATACCACATTAGTAGTATCCATCATTGCACCTGTGCGAAGTCGGCATGTAGGTAAAGATTTTATAAAAGTGGTCATTTTAGGAAGTAGTCATTTCAGGGAATGTGTCATTTTAGGATATTTATAATTTGCTAGTGCAATGGGTCAAAAGGATGTATGACCGTTTCTTAATTACCCATGACACTACTGGTTAGTAGTACAGAAGGGAAAAATATTCCCCATGACACTACCGGTAGTGTAATTTGGTAAGGCAATGGGTCGGAAGTCGCCCTTTCTCTAACTTCATTTAAACGTGATGGTGTTTAGAAAACAAAACTCCAGATCATCAAAGTATAATGCTGGATTGCCCAAACAGGTAGGTATTTAAAAGCTTGCCGAGTTTTGCTATGCTGATCTCGAGAGGGAGCGCGTTCTATAACAGGAGAGATTGTAAGAAAGCAGAATGTACAAAGTCAGTCAGTATTGTGATAGGAATGTGACTAAATGTATACTAATGTAACAAAAACTGAAGTTTTTCATCTATTTGTTTGTTGAGGTGTGCCAGTCTTTATAAACATTTTTTTTCGTAATAAACGAGGACAACTCTCACACAAAGATAAATATCCTGTGTCTCGGTTGACTTTATATGATACAAAGAACACCCAGACTGTGTTCAGAGGAACAAGAATTAGTGAATCACACAAGGTGTTGTCCCATGTGGAGATTGAACCCACAATACTCAGCGCACAATCCATGCAGATACACACTGTTAGTCAGATTTAAAAGACAGATTTTGTTTAGGATAGAGTATTCTTTGAGGTAGGTTAATCATAAAGCATAAAAAGCTATGGGGAATGGCTAGTAAAAATATACGTTTTTACTTCTGATTTGTTTAAAAAATTATTAAATTAAAAATAATACCTGTGCAGTAGTTGTTATTACTATGACTGTATGTACTTACATTCTAAAGGAACAATATGCAAATTTTAAGTCAAATGGGTTGATGATGAAAGGTTGCTGCTGTCCCACTTCCATCAGAGTATTTAGAATAGTCTATTTATCTATTCAACTCGCACAAACAATTTTCTTACTTCTAACCCACTTAGAATGTCCATAATGATGTTGTATAAGAGTTGTTTAGAGCAAAATAACTTTATGATGTATAAATCTCAGTACAATGGATATGATTACATGAAGTTTTCTAAGATTAATTCTAATGTTATACCTACTTTATATATTCTAATAAAACCTGAGAGTGATACAATAAAACCATACCATTATAGAATGTTTCTTTTTAATATAAGATTTGCTGATTATATTATATTTGAATTAAAAAATAACAAAAAAAACTAGCCTAAAAACTAAATATTTATGTATCCTTTAGTTATAAAATGTGAAACACAGTAGACAATTGTACATTGAAAAGAAATTACTTATCTAGGAGCTACAATTTGCTAGAAATGATTAATATTTAGCAAATGAAGATAAAATTTAATAAAATTAAGGAATAGCCATATAAAAGCAGTTTCAAAGAGATATGTTACAGTTATACTTATAATGGAAAACTTTAAAAAGATGTTCCGGAAATGTACCATTGAGGTTTGATAGATCGGGTCATAGCCTCTTGTATGTTTAATATAACATAAAACTTATTAAAAAGTTATTAAGTTACATAAGACTATTTTGTTCTATAAAATAAGTTAGGTGTATGTCTATTACTAAAGTTTAATGTGTTAAAGATACGTAAACATACTCACTATCACAAAGATCATTTATGTTAAGTCTTAAATATATACTATTTTACGAATTGTCCATGGAACTATTAAGTCTCACAGTTCCGTTTTGTCAGCTTTACCTCTCTCACCCTTAACAGTTGTCAGTTCTTCAGATAAACATGAAGAATCGCTGCCCCTTAATGCATGTTCAGTGCATAAATGAGTTTTAAGTTCAATATCCTCTTGGTGATTCCAATACCAATCTTCAATGGCGCTTTCATTCTCTTCTAGAAGACTCTCACATTGTGTTTTCATATGTGTAATCTCAGCCGAAGGTTTGTCCCACAACTCATAAGGAATACCGAGTTCGACCTTTACTCCTTTATCGACCAAACCGTGAAGAGTCTTGAATGTTTGACTCATGCCTTTGGAAAACCTGGTACTGTCCTGACGCTCTTTATGAATGTTATATTCTAGAATTTTATCACAAACTCCTTCTAACGACTCAATCAGCCTCAATTCAGATTTTTGGTACTTGGTCTTTTTTTTAGGTTGCACGTCGTCTAAGGAGTATCCTATTTCGATGACATCGCGAATTTTGCCGGTCTCCTCCAGCCTGCTCTGTAACTCGGTAGCAAGAACTTTGCAGACTTCACACCTATTGGCATACTTCACACCTACATCTTCTTCAGATTTTATTTCCGTGTCATCGCGACATGAAATATTAGTGGTTAAAAGTAAAAATACACAAGTGACTTGGAAAATCATGTTATCAAATAAATATCTTGTGTACAAAACCATTGACATTTGTTGTGTGAAACAATGTTGCCATTTCACCAAATGCGTCACATTCACAGACTACAATATAGTATAATGTAGCAAGTACACTATAGTATAATGTAGCAAGCTAGTCACATTTATGCTTTTTGCGTTAAAAATTTTAACAAAATATGCAGCGTTAAAAATATGCTATATGTTTTAACTTAAAATAATTTTTCTTTTTGAACATTATTTTCTACTTTTCAATTCGGCTAGTTACAAAAGCGTTTTTTTAAACTTAATTTTTTCAAGGTATAAGAAAGCAAATGAGCAGACGGGCCATCTGATGGTAAGTAACTGCCGCTGCATATGGATAATTGCAGCTCAAGAGTCACAAGTGCATTGCCGCCATTTGAGGCCCTCCTACATAATAAGGGGTTGGGCGGCCTGGGTTCCAGTAGCCTCACTCACTCGGTGAAAAGCAACGAAAGGCCAGTTTTCTTTGAGGCCGTGGTATCACTCCGTTCGATCGGGCCCATTCGAAGCATGGCTCTTCCAAGGTGAGACATTCAATATCAACAGTTACTTATTTTAAATTAATTCATCTTCTTCAGATGAATCGTTTTTGTTTGCACCATCATTGTCGGTTTCAATCTAATACGAGTTTTGGCAACGATTAGTTTTACAACGATTAGTATTCCACTGCTTCTTTTTATTCCATTCATAATGCTTAATTGACAATAGTTCTTCTTCAAGTAGGCATGTTTGAAATGTAATACTTTCAGTGTGTGGAACCTCCTTAACACGTTGGGCATTGGTAAACAACAAAGGACCGAGTTTCGAATGACCATTGGTTTGAAGGATTTCAACCTTAATTTCTCTTCTGCTACTCAACTGGATCATCAAACCAAGAGTCGGACCCTGAAGTATATCGCTAGTCTGCCCAGACCCAATATTGCATACTTTGAATTATCTTCGGTGCCTTCTTTCCACATTATTTTATTGCCTCTCGACTTCGGAACCTTACCCTCTCTTTGGCACTCCATTGATAATCCTCCTCTTCCTAAGCACTTCCGTTCAATCTCCATCTTTCCTATCAAAGTTTCTTAAGGTTTGTCTACATGTAAGGCCGGTTTAAAACCAATTAAACCAATCCGTTTAAAACGAAAAAACCGTTTAAAAATATTTTTTTCGATTTAAAATGGTTGGTGTTGATGACTATGTTTTTTTTAAATTATAACTACATTTTCTTGATTTTACCGATGTAGGGATATGACGGAGTACCTATTAACTATGTAAAGATTTTTTATACGTGTGATATACTGATATTGATATACTTAGCGGGTTTAGTTCTAGTTGGTCGGTCAAACCAAGCGTAGAATTTTGTTTAAACGTTTTAAATCGGTTTTTTTACATCTACAGTTCAACATGATCGCCCGTGTGGCTACTAAACCACTGGACTAATGCACTAAGAGCAATATTTCGCTTCTAACACATCAACAGCCTATGATAGTCCACTGCTGGACATAGGCCTCTCCCTCCCTGGCCAGACGGGTTGGTATAGGGTTTGTTTCAAGTTTTCATTCTCTTTGCAGTCTTGCTTAGTTTTCTCCCTTAGTCGACTTTTACGACACCCACGGGATGAATAGGGGTGGTGAAATTGCGTATTCTTAATCCGTCACCACACGGATAACGCCTAATAGGTGGGTCGAAACTACCAGTTTTAGTAGAATATCCACTAGGTTGGCAGCACTGACAATGAGTTACTTATTACGTGGACGAAAGAGATAATGCTATCATCAATTCCCAATAAACAGATTGAAAAATGAGTGTAATAAATCTGTTTGTCTGTTGTTGGCTGGGGAATATGAGGGGTAAACAAGTAGCCAATCGCAGCTTGGCTAAACAGAGACAGAGGAACTATCGGGCATCCATCTCTCGTTGCCTGTATCGCTTCCACTCACAAACACATGTACTCCTGTTACTTTCCAGCCGTCCAAAGGTGTGGTGCTCTGCCGCAGAATCAATGTAATAAAGCCCTATCACCGATCACTTATATCTAAACCTGATGTAGGTACGTCAAACGTACAAAATCTACAAGGTATACATTAGGGTTCACTTTAATTTAAAGAAGTTATACTATTTTAAGACATAGTATGAAAAAAGTCGCTGTTTTGTGTTGTACACTTAGTTTTTTTTACCTAAGCAATGGATTTTAATGCAGTTTTCACCAATAGAGAGCGTGATTCAAGAGGAAGGTTTACATGTATAATACATAGTAGTAGTATAACAGAGAAAATACGAGAATTGTACCTATATTTTAAAAAGATTTACATAAAAGTCCGCGATGGTATATGTCTATCTCTTAAGGATATCGCACAGTAACCATTTTTATCTTTTAAATATTACAAATAAATTATGGGTTAGTTACGAAGCTATTTTAAACAATACATTATTATTCCTTATCCAATGAAATACGTTACACGTTCTGCACTTATTGTAGATTAAAATTAATTATTGGAATAGGTTTTATTACGCATTTTTCTTAGAATCTCGTGAAATAAGACTGCATATTATGACGTTGTAGATGCTTACATGGTATGTATAAACGTTATAAACTAGATCCTAGTGCATAAGCATTAAGTACTAGGACCTAAAACCTTTTTTCGTTTATATTTATATCTTCTCGTACATTCGCCTACAGGTCGCTATTGAAATCGCGGCCATTTCTTGACGAATATTTTGCTTTAATTCGCCGAGTGTTTATTAATGAAAACTGTGATTTTCGGAAATCCTCTTATAAAATTGCCCATCTTTTATAATTTTATTCGAGGGTCGAAACTATTCCAGAAAAATTTTATAAACTCTTTTGCAAAACTATTAATGACTTTGCTGTTATTAGTTCTAGGGTTATGTTGGCATTCAATTATGATTATATATAATTCTGGACTATAGGTTTTCACCTCACCCAGTACACTACCAAGCCAAGGTACACTAGCCAAATAGTGTTTGCCTTACACAAATATGTAAGGCAAGCACTATTTCGATGGGGAGCAAAACATTGGAGGAGCATAAATTGGGACACAGGGTAGCTTTAGAGAAAGTACTGGTACACAGGGATAAAAAAACGCAAGCGGAGTTACAGGCGAGCGGCGTTTATTTTATATGGATCACTTGCGAATCAAATCAACAACTCTTAATTTTATATTGTACCTCTTTGCTTAACCATTCAATCCATTCCATGCTAACTTCTTTTTCTAATGTAATTTCCTGGAATATTTCACTTCTAGATTTCTCTTGGAATCCTAACTTTTTAAACATATTGATGCTTATTTCATTTGATAAGGAAATCTTTGCTTCAAATACCTTTAATTGAATATATTGAATACCATACAAAAGCATTAATATGACTGCTTCCCAACCCAGTTTTTTTCCTCGGGCAGATGGTTCAGCTATCATTATTTCTATTTCACCTATTGCATATTCCTGATCAACTATAAAAATGTTTGTGTCTCCAATCATTGATTCTGTAATAAATGAACTTCATTACTAAAACAAACAATCAATATAACAAAAAAAAACTGCTATTTTGATTTCTACTTACCTATTTCATTATTAATTTGATCGTAAATGGATTTATCCAATATAATGAAAGTACATTCTGAAAAAAGGATAATTATTATTATATTATTAATTTAAAATATCGTAGTTGATTGTTAAATCAAATTAGTTTAATTAATAACAAAATGGTACATACTATGGAAATTTATATAAAAAAACTATTTCAATATTATATTTACTAATGCTATGATTTTCTTTTAATGTTTAGTTTTACATTTAGAAATATAATATAGGACTTAATTTCATAGACATAATGAAATTATCAATTTTAAACATACACAAATATCCAATTATGCATGAGGAATCACTTGGAAAGTTTAGAAAACAGTTGTTAAAAGTATAACTTCCTTCATACTGTTTTTACACTATTACTTTAAATAGCCATGGGTATCAGTCCATAATATTAGTCATGATACTTGATGCCGTAAGAGAATAGTAAAACTACTAAAATTCAAATAATGGGCAAGTAATGTACTTTATAGTACTTATTCTGCAAGTTCAAATTTAGAAACAACCATTTATAAAACTCATAAATAAATTAGTTATTAATTCTAAGTTTCTAATTACAGATTTTACCTCAATAATGAACGGATAATAGTTAGGTTAGTTGGGTTGCTACTGTTGTTTTAATCCTTTCAATACTTATTAAGTATTTATATTCATATAACAGTTATAAGTACAGTATAGTACAAAACATCTTACTATCTTCATCTTCGCGCCATGATTTTTGCATTTCAAATTCTTCGTCTAATGTCAAGGGTTCCGATGCTGTCAGTTTTTGCAAGTCTTCTGACTTCATCCATTCATGATATCTGCAAAATTGATTGACATATAACTGCTGGCTGTAACATTGATTTTTTTAATAATATTAATTATATTTTTATGTATGATGTATTACTTAGGTACATGATTTTCTCTGTAAGGTACTAATAGTATATTGTGCCCCACGATTTCGGTATTACTGTTTAATTTCATTTTAACATTTAACTAAACTATTTGAAAAGAAAGACGAATAATGAGTTTTCCTTTGTTATTTTATTTACATTTTAGTAATTTTGTTTTCATTGTCATGTTGACACTGACAAATGATATTGACTTTCTTATCACAGCATGATTCCCATATTTTTTATTAAAGGTTTTGTCATGAAACATAAAAAACGAATAGAATGTCTCAATTTTTTCTAATTTTATTTTGTTAATTAATCAAAAATCATTTTATTTTATTTACATTACTTTAAGTTCTTAAAAAAAGTCATTGTATTGTTTAGCAAACTTTGGTGAGATGCCACAACAAAATCTGGAGATCTGACTAGATATCTGGTTTTAATAACTATTGAATTGTTTTGATAACGATTTGCAAAACTAGCTCTCAGACAACGTAAATGCATACGTTTTGGTCAACTTAAAAAAAAAGAAACATGAAAAAGTATTCACTAAAAAGGTTCCATGCTAAGCTTAGATGTTAATATAAGTTTATAGAATACCTGATGGGGAAAGCAATATAATGTTATACTAGATTGAGTGTAGTACTGTTCACTAGTATTGATTGATAGAATAGATAGTAATAGTTGATAGATAGTATTGATATGATGTTGAATAATGATACTAGTGACACTTTTCACTAGTAGTTTGCATATGTCATGGTGAAAGTGAGTAAAAAAATAAAAACTGAAATAACGAAAAAAAAAAATCACCTGATTAACTATAGGCAGTTAAGTAGCATATTAAACGCTTAGTTCTAAAGGGTTCATGAAATAGTGTAGAGTTTTCGAGTTTAATGCTATTAGTTATTAAATCAGAAAAGATGTTTTCCTTTTCGAATGAGTTTATTATTTAATTTTTATTACTGGAAAACTATGTGGAATTTTCCAACAGGAATTTTATTATAACATTTGTAAAAATTAGCTCTAAACGTTTGATTAAAATACGAGCATGTCCAATTTTAAGGTCTCTTGACATGCTGTGCTTCTGTATCAAATATGTTATTAATTAAGTGACGATAAAAAAAAAATGAAAGTCAGTCCACAATGGACGAAGTAATCAGTGAACATACATAAAAAAAATACACGGAGTGGAACTTAGAACTTAGACTAAAATCATTTGACTGGCCTGTTGGTGTGAAGGTGCTGTGAGCTGAAATTCGTGAAAGTCGTGGGTTCTATTTCCACCCAGAACAAATTACTATGTTGTGACATGATCATTTAATTTTTATTATTCTTTGTTTAATTTATCTAAAATATAATGTGTGTAAAAAACAACCTGGTAACAAGACCTTTAAGCCAATACACACCTGGGTTTTATTTTAAAAAACTTGCCACGATCCAATTTTCTCAAGTGTTTTTTTTTTTTTAATAAATACTTTTACATCTCGTTGAAAAACTAGCAACAGTTGGCCACACTGTTTATTAGCATCTGTCTGTAGCGACTGAAAGACTTGTATCTATGGTCATGAATAAAAAAAAAAGAAATAAAAAAAAGCGTCTGTCTCTGTCTGTTGCTTGTCATGTCATATGTGGCTTATCAGAACCTTATCATATCATGTTTTTATCAAAATATTGGCGTTCTTTTTAACCATCGATATCAATATATTTGTTTAATAAAATATGTGCTAATCCTCCGGTGAAATAAATTGGCCTGTGATCATTGTGGTCACCAAAAATCCTTTGTTTAGGATCAACGAATTTTTCCCATATTTTGAACTACTGGAAGACAGTAAAATATAGTCATACCTTCTTTCTATGATTCACGGGCCACTTCACGATGAATCAATATAACACAGAAAGACGTTTAAGTTGGTGTTATTTTCTAGTAGCGGTGTTGTTGGGAGTGTCTGTAATATGTATCGCTATCCCTTACAACCACTGGCGCACCACACTGGACGTGTGTCCTGGTGGTTACTTTGAGAACACAAATTGTGGTTGCATATTGTTTGGTCTCCGCACCACCCATTTCTTTAATGGAGGACATAACTCATACTGCCTGTATGCTATATTTGGACCTTTGCCTGTACTTGTGTATGCCCTAGTAATGGCTCTTTTCCATATGTACAGAGTTTGTATAAACAATATTGGTAAATATGAGGATGAAAAGTCTACAACTATGGAGGAAATGTAAGTTTTTTATTGTTGTATGTAGTTTGTATTGGTATAGTAATTTGAGTTAAACAAACACACTAATAATAGGTCACACATTTCTCTTCAAAACACAAATGGTAAAGTCTGGTACATGTTATAGACTCGTTGATGTTATTGTTTACTTTTAAGTTACTATTTAGTATTTACTAATTCTTAAGTGTAAGGTATTCAATCCAATATATGCTTTCAGCGAAGGAGAATCAATTGTAGTTAGTACAAGAACAAGGGTTAGTACAAAAAATGATGGCGTCATATATTGTTGGATCCCTACGTCATGTATTGCAGCACTCTTTTGTATTTACACTTTAGCGCATGCAGCTATTTTGACGAGTGGCTTAATAAGGACCTGCACGCAGTACAGAGGATATTTAGTCTCCGTAAGTGTCTTGTTTTATTTGTAATTTTACCTGAATTATTAAATCCATTACCATTCCTTTCGTTTTAATGAAAGCCATGGAGTAATAAAAGTACTTGTCTCAAAACATTTCAAAATGATAATATTAATAGTATGGGAACTATTTATTTATTGATTTAATGGATGGATGGATGCAGACTGACCAAGACCAGGATAGTTGGTGTTCCTTGGGGAGGCCTTTGTTCAGCAGTGGAGGGATATAGGCTGAAAATTATTTATTGATTTACATATTGTAATCAGTCAATCTGATTTTATAATATGTATTGAACAAAAAAAAAAGATCATCACAAATCTTGCATTTCTCTGTGACTGACTTTCAGACTAATTATTAATTATGTGAAATGTGAGAGCTGTTCACTGAATACACAAAACAAACAGATAAATGATGCATCCGCAATATAAGCATAAATATGTTAATATTACATTACAATATTATTTAGTAGTAACAATGAAAACTGTAAAAAGTTATATAAAGATATACCTTAGAAGTTTACTAAAATTTACAAAATATATTAATTATTATATTCTATCAGTCAATCTAGTTCTTATAGTACAAGCTCTGCTTAGTTTGAAAGTAGATGGTGTTGTGTTGTCTGATGTCTGAAATAATAATTATTATTATGATTATTGCTTAAAACCAGTATTTCCTTACATCACATACAGTTCTCACAGAGGTCTCATACATAAATTTTTGACTGGATGAAAATGCCTACAGCATTGGGTCTGCTTATACAATGTATTTGCAGGCAGTATTATTATATAATTTATTTCATTTCATCAATATTATTCATTTGAATAATATAATATGAAATAATATGAAAACAAAATCAAATCTAATTTTCTAAAATGGTACCAACTTTTTGACCTCTCCTGTGTAACTTAACAGATTAAAAAATATCTATCACATCAAAACTCAAGTACAAGAATTTTACAATTAATTTTACAATACAATTTTTATGTGAGATATTGACTCATTCAGCAATTATACAATGATTGAGTATCATTGTCTTGTTGCTGGTACTCCTATTAAAGCCAATTAGAAGAATTTGTAATGGACTTAATTGAAGGTTACTCCTTAACCTTTGTTATTGCGAAACATTTGCTCTCGCGCCTCTAACCAAATTAATAAGTTGCTCTAAATACTAGTATTTCAGGTACAAGGTCGTACGTAATACCTACATACTTAAAAATAGTCCAACTCAAAACAACTTGACGTCTCCCGTAAGCCTCAATTCGAAGTTGAGCGTAAGAAAATTTCTGTAAATACTATTCAGGTAACCTGTAACCTGTTGATGAGGCTTGTCTATCCTGCGTCCACTATTCATCTTCCATGTTACCCTCTGCCAATGAGCGGACGCTGGTAAATAGAGCAGCTGCAAAACTATTCTGCCTCCAATACCTATGCAATTATGCGGCTCTTCGTATACCTTCAGACAATTCCCCTGACAAATTTTAATAAAACTAAGCCTTATGTCATCTACAAAGGCGTTTCAATGAAACTGTCTTTGATAACAAGATAAAAAGCTATATCGACTGCTGCTTCCTGTTTCTATGCTTTGCATATGTGATTCTTATTACCCTTACATTTGATAAACAATAAAGTAAAGTAATCTCACCAAACGTACAAAATACGAACAATAAATTATTAGTCCATTTCTAAAACCACTATGGTGATTATCAAACTTTGACCAAATGTGTTAACTCTGACTCGTGAACTAGGTCAAGGCCTGTATCTCAGAAGGATAGTATTTAGTTCACAAACTTACAAAGTAACGAGCTATGTTTGGAATACATATTACTCTCCTACTCCTATTACATTTATTTTTGTCTTCACATTAAAATGTATTAATACATAATTGTTTCTTGTTTTAAATTTGCATTGAGTAGACCATATGGTGTGTGAAACCCTATCTGTGCTTTTTTTTTACCAACGTGGTGTCACTGTAAACTATAATTTGTTATATTGTAATTTGTACATACATTTTAATTTATGTATATGTTACACGTTACAGCAACTTCGTGCCTCTGGAGACCATGCGTCTGCTATACATTTTCGTCTCACATGCCAAACGATCTTAGACTTTATGGATTATATACAAAAGGACGCTCCCAACAGCCGCCGAGGAGATTTTATTAACACCGGTGTGGCATTGCATTTGGCAGTCATCGCCTCGTGGGTAGCTATGGCATTATGGATCGCTATTGTAGTATATACCGCTCGGAGAGCGTTTAGAGAGCGTCACGTACTCACCTGTTGCGGCAACTGAGTAGCGCTGACTAGTTTTTTAATATTATGCATTAATAATTCTAGATATAGAAAGGTCTATATCGGTGTTTGACTAAAAGCCTTCGCCTCAAGTATTCAAACGCTGATGATATGATTTTCTTCCTATTAATCTTTCCAATCATTGGATTAGGTTAGGAAGATAACCAGGTAGATATTCATAGATACACGTTGATGTACGAGGGGTGATCAATAAGTAATGATAATCAATATGAAACAGAACTATTAGATTAAAAAAAGTATTTTATTTTTCAACATAGTCTCCTTGCAAGTTAATACATTTAGTGTATCTTTTTTCTAAGCCCATGATTCCCTTAGAAAAAAATTCTTTGTCTTGACCCTCCCAAAATGCCTCTACTGCGGCCATCACTTCACTATTGTCCTCAAATTTGTTGCCCCGTAGGTGTTCTTTGAGCCGAGGAAAGAGGTAGAAGTCACTGGGAGCTAGATCTAGCGAATAGGGAGGGTGTTCGAGCAGTTCGAACCCCGTTTCTTCAATGGCAGCCATCGCAACTGCGGCTTTGTGAGCCGGGGCGTTGTCTTGGTGAAACAGCACTTTACCAGCGCGCAGTTTACCGCGTCTTTTTGACTTAATAGCTTCTCGCAATCTTCTTATTTGGCCTGCGTAGTAAGAGCCTGTTATAGTGGCCCCCTTTTCCAAATATTCCACCATAATAATTCCTTCTGCATCCCAGAAAACAGACGCCATAACCTTTCCCGCTGAACTTGACACTTTGAATTTCTTCGGCGTTGGTGAGGAAGCTCGTTTCCAAGTCATTGATTGTTGTTTGGTTTCGGGATGAAAGTGGTGGATCCAGGTCTCGTCCATGGTCACAAAACGCGACAAAAAAAATTCTTTATCGGCCTGGAACTTTTGAAGATTCACCCTCGAAATGTCGACTCGTTTCTTTTTTTGCTCGTCGGTTAACATTCTCGGTACCCAACGCGCAGAGACCTTTTTCATATGCATTTTGTTGACAATGATTTTTTGAACGCTGCCATAGGAGATCCCTGTGACCTCAGCTACATGCCTTACGGTCACCCTTCGATCGGCCAACACGATATCTTCCACTTTTTTGACGTTTTCTCCAGTAAGGGACGTGGAAGGGCGTCCCTCGCGATGTTCATCTTCAGTGGAGGTTCTGCCCAGCTTAAATTCCTTTGCCCAGCGTGCGACTGTGGAATATGGAGGAGCAGACTCCCCCAATGTTTCCTCTAAGTCGCTGTGTATGTCTTTGGTAGACATTTTTTTCAGGCAGAGGTACTTGATGACAGCTCTTATTTCATTTTTCTTCATTTTGATGTTTTCTCTTCGACAGTTCGTATTCAAATGAATGTATCTCCCGGTAATGGTGTCCTATTTATACATTTTTTTGAAGCTGAAGTAGTGGATATATAAGCAAGCAGAAAAAAAATAATTTGGGTTTTTGTGCGTTCTAGAAATACTCGATTATCATTACTTATTGATCACCCCTCGTATCTACATATTTAATACATCGAAGAGAATTACTAGATTTTAGTCACTGAAGTGTTTTAATATTTATATAACATATTTTATATGTAACACAATGAAGATTTACCAATTAAAACGCACTTGTAGTCAATAAGGGAAAACTGAGCTTTAAACTGTAATTAATTTAATAAGTCTGAACATTTCAACAAGAAACATTCCACCGAATAGGCATCAAATGGTAACATATTTAGTAGTTTTATTGTTGTTAGTCTTTTCTTCTCTTATATTTTTATTTTATGTGGATTTCATTGTAACCATATCGTATGCCGTCTAATGTGCCGTCCATTTAGATGTAAGAAATGTATTTCTATTATTTTAAGGTTGATAAATAGTTTATATTTATAAACAAAAGGACGCTCCCAACAGCCGCCGTCTGCTCGTTTGCCACCTCTTCCATAAAAAAAATTACTGAAAAAACCGCTGTAGCGTAGGTATAAGATTTTATATTCTATTGATTAAAAACACTGCCAGGCTTGATTACATTCTCAAATATGTTTGACATCGGCAATATCACATACCTTTTGATAGAAACTCTTGCACCGCGCGTGCTGATCACAAGTTTTTTTATGGATGAGAGGGCAAATATCAAATCAAATATTGCGCTTCCCGAGTCACTGTTACATACTTCCGTCCCTTTTCACGATATACTCGCAAATGCAGGATTGCAGGAAAATGAGAGGCAAGATTTTACACAATAAAAACAGTTCAAGAGTGTGAGAAGCTATGTTTCTATTAAAATTCTTTGTAGTGTTGTAGACTATGTCGCTTAGTTTTAAGATACTTATGTACAATATATATTTTTACATTTTTATCTTTGTTTTGATACTAGAACTATAAATAAATAATATATTACAAATCTAGAAATGTATTTTATTTTGTTAACTATTGAATTCCCCACAACTGAAACAAGTCAATTCATATTTAATGTGGAAAAGGACAAAACCAAGGCAGATATTATGTCTACTCCACTTCAGAAATTTCATGAGGAACTAAGACATACATAGAAGTGGTTTTAATCTTATCCACACCACTGTCCTAAAGCATTCATCCTGCGTCTTTACCTTTTTATTCCGCCTGTGTTAAACATGCGAATTCTAGACGGTATAGTTTATACAATACTACACGTATCGCAAAAAAAAAGGCAAGGAAATCTGGTTAATCTTATTTCTGTTTATACTCGTATTATAAGTATTCCAAATATGCTTCCGACAACAGGCGCCATCTGTATGCGCCGAACCTACATATATCTACTACTTTAACGCTCAAAAGTGTGTTTCACATGGCTCCTGTAACTATCAATAAATTACCTTACGAAATAAGGGCAATGAATACTGCTTTATTTAAGAAAAATTTCAACAGCCTCTTAGTTTAACAAGTGTTACTATAACTTGAATGACTTACTATATATACCTACTACACTACTACTTAAACAATAATTGTATAGACATTTTGCATGCCTTTGGGTAGTGCTTTCTGCAAAAATAAATACAGTTGCACTTCGGGAGTGCCGACAAAAGTGAAAACGTAATAGTGTCGCGAGTTCAATTGTTTTTTCCCCATCTCAAAAAAAAATGTGCTTTTTGTTAAACTATAAAATTCATTTTGTTTGTTGGTCAAAAATGCCCAAGTTGCCCAACGCGCTTTAAGAAGTTTTTACTTCAATGAATTTGATTTGATACCGTGCACCTAGCGGCACAAAGAGTTTTTTTCACGTATTTATTATTTGTAGATATTGCAACTTTCACCTCTTCCAAAACTTCAAATTGTTTCCTTTTGAGGCAGTAGGTACAGTAAAAGACATAAGTATAACATAAAACATTTAATAAACAACATATACCTATTCTAACATCTGTATATAGGTATTTACCTAACTTATTATGTATCGACTTCGAGTTCGGAAAATTGGACTTATATCCGGTCAATGAGGAATATAAGTATTGAATATTGAAATACCTTCAGCTTTCTTTAAACCGATCCTTATATTAACATTAAGTGCAGCTGCTTTCTTCACTTTAAATATACATTACATAGTCGGCGTTAATATTAAGTAACATTTACTTACAACTAAAAAAAAGGTAGATAATAAAAGGAATTAAAACAATTTAAGTTGAACTATCTCTGTTGTAAAGTTAAAATGTATTTATACATACTAATAATAATAATAAAATATTACATTAATTAGAGATTCACATTGGTAACATTTCTTTGGTTACAATGCCATATGTGAATTGGGAGCCGACGTGTGACGAGTATTCGAGTATTCGTGAAATAAGCTCAGAATTATAGTTTATATTACTGTACATATCGCTATTTTAATTTATTTTAATCTTACCTTCCAATTACAATAGTAATAATAACATATACATTCTAAATAATTTTGGTTAGTCGTACATTATAGGCATTATCTTAAATAATATTTTTATATAGAAAAATCTAAAAATAATTTTATATAAATCTCATTAAATACATTTAGAACACAAACTCTTCTATTATGTCTATAGTGTGATCGTTGGTTTTTTTCGGATGTTGAACATCTTCGATGAAAGTCGAAACTTTTTATCAAGCCGTATATTAATTTATCCGGCTTAATTTATCAGATGGTTAAGCGTCTTCAGCATTTTAAAACTGATTGTAATATTCGTTATTTTCTTTCAAATGGCACAGGCGATAGTAGCAGCCAGAAAATATCAAAAAAGCGCAACTGCAAGTCCATGTATCCAGGAACAACTTCCTGGAATCTGATCGAATGGGCTCGAACATATATTTCTCTACAGAAGTGGAAACTGTTTAAAAAAAATGGAGAGTGAGTGGCTGAACAACACATTTCTGCTACTAGAGATGAGTAAGTTCGTTAGTGTTGGCATGGAACACATCATCATATAAATACACGAGTTCCTAATAGGAAATCTCTCTTACGAATACAACATACCATAAATAGAACATAAAAGAGATAATTATCGTCAAACGCCCTAACTTTCCTGTTGTTTGTTTGTTTACTTTGTTTTTATCTGATTCTATAAAACATTAATAGTTATATAATTTATTCTAGTTGACGATGAGTACAAACAAATATTTTACTGTGAAATACTTATTATATAGGCAGTTTGGCACGGTTTACGAATGAGTAATCCACACCTTGCCGAGGCTCGGGTTAATACCCTTTTAACTATAAAAGATCTAGATGTAAAATAATAATAAATACAGTGGCGTAGCTAGGCGTGGGCCGCCGCCCACGGCCTGGCACTCGAAGGGGCCAGACCGTGGCCCAGACTTCAATAAAGATCATTAATTAATTTGATCCCGTAGAGAGGATGGCGTTACAACAGAGCTGCTAAAGGCTGGAGGTAAACCCGTACTAAGGGAGCTCCAAAAGCTTTTCAGCGTGGTCGCTTCCTTTTTTCTCTAATATAAGTAGATTCGTTGTGTCAAAGAATGTTCGGTAGGATAGTTCTATTGGAGTCCCTGAAGTGACTTCGCTTCTGAATAAATATTTTGGTAGGTATAATACCTAAATCTCAGCTTGGACAGTGTTGCTGTAATTATTTTTTTTAGGAATTTCAAAGAAAATTTCAATGAATATATAGAAATGGTTGTAAATATTACAGATGTTTCTTCAAAGAAAAACAGAACTTATCGTCTAGTACAGATGATAATGAGCTCTTAGCTAAACATAAAACCTAGAGCTGAAAAACTTCAAATACAAGGTTGTATGCATTCATCTGGACCTTATTTACATGACAGGATTTTATTTAAAAATATTTTCAACTTTTCAAATGACGATAAGACGAAAAGTCTTCAATCAACGTGATTAAATTACATCTGTTAAGCATGAACATGTGTTTATAAAAGAACGAGTATTAGAGGATCGAGTTCAGAAAATTCTGTTATGAATATTTTCATCATTCATCTTGTGACGGACATCTTGTTTCATCTTTAAGTGACAATGAAACATAATAGGTCAGGGAAAAGTATTTTCGTATTTTTGGAAGTGACATAAATTTTGTTTCATGTTTTACTCTTTAATGTTTGAAGAACCTTCTTAAGAGTCCAAATTGTGTATTGTCTGTATTAGGCGACAACGTCAAATATTTTCAAAATCGGTGACTAGTTATGGCATTTGACGGTATATCATAAACTAATGCATTTAAAAGGAACGAGTCACTCTTTGTGAAATATGTGACGAGTTAAATAAAGGAAGTAGTTTTTTGGTGAAGGTTATTAATAAATCGTCATGTTTGGAAGATCTCGATGTAGACAAAATTATCTTTAGTATGATTATTAATCAAAAATGCTTTTAAATATTATACAAGAAACCCTGAAATTTTGCCCTATGAATCATAGTGCCATAGAAATGTTATGAAAGAAAATATTTACAAAATGCTTTTCTTACGATGCACACTATAATAAGGGGCTTAATTAAACTTATTCCTAACTAGTATGGCTTCAACAACATGAAGAATTCAATACAAAAATTACATATAAATATTTACCTTAAATCTGCCTTAAAGTAGTAGCGACGAAGTTTGTTTCTACAATACAATTTGGCATGTTTGTTATTTATGTCGAATAAAAAATAGTAATGTCACAGTAAGATTTGGCTTACCTATACCTAAATTAATATCCATGTATTCAATGTTGCTAGTGCCATGGAAGATCATTTCTTATAATTTGAAAATTAAACTGTTTTGAAACTATTAGTTTTATTATTTGACCTAAATTAGTGGACATGGGAACACAATTCTATGAAACTGATGAATTTTCCATTTATCGTTAACATTACCTGAAGAATTTAGTAAAACTGTGAAAGCATTAAAGACATTTAAAGATGTAAAAATAGACTTCGTTAAAGTGCGACTACTGGATGAAGAGTTGAAAATAAAACGTAATACACATTAATTCAACTTATCCACAACTTATACCGAGAGATGTGATAATTTGTACAATAATCACCCTGCGTCAAGGAGTTGGGCTGTAAAGAGATTTACTACATCACAAAATAGGTATGCGTAAAGATTTAGTGCAATTCAATAAAGAATATCACCTAAAAATATGAACATTACAAACTAATTTCTTATACTTGAGAAAAATGTACATTACGGGATTACTTAGTAACCCACCCATAACCCAGCGAGATTACTGCTGTGACTTCCGCTGTATTCAACTAATGAAATTACTATATTTTCCATGATCTGTGATTAAGCAGTACCAAATCGCTCAGTACTATTGATTTTTATTTTCACCAGTAGGTATTAACATCATATTAGTATCACGTATACTAATGAAAGACATGAAGTTTTATGTTACTGCAAATTCAGTGTAATATCAGGCCAAAAAGAAAATATTTAACGAATGGAACTAACTGTATAGAAAATAAACACATCGACGTTACATCGACTAAATTCTTTAAAAATATAGACGAATCTTCCGGGGATTTATACCATAAGGACACTGTTATCGTAACTGACCAAAAACATGAAAATTTACAATTCCATAAGTCCGTATGTCCACTTTAAATAAGTTTGAAAACTAAAGTGCGATAAAATCCCAAGAACCGAAGGAATACCAAATAAAGCTACATATTAATTAGGGATGATATAAAATCACAATCACCTGTGATTAATCATATGATCACACCTGTGACTGATTTACAAAACCACTGCTACTTTTTAATATTATTACGCTAGCGCAAGACACGCGAAAGGTTTAAATCTAAAAAAATATACATATAAACTAGCCAAAACGCTAATACTCACAACGCAATAATGAAGAATAGGTAGATATACCAAAGTTGGACTGTCAGAAATATTACATTTACACAAAAAAGATACAGTGCAGGGGTGGAGGGAGTCAGTTAGGTGTCATTTTTACGAAAATGTTGGTGCTTTTTGGTTTCGTTACCGCTTTTTTTTTTTTTTTTTCTTGCGGAAATCCCCTCGGATACCACCTATCGGTGGCATGTCGGACTCGAACCGACTAAAACCGCACGCCGTCTCGGGTACTAATAGCCGGGGAACCAAGTATACCCTAGAAAGGAAGTCCCTGGTGCCCCGACATACCTCGGGCCAAACAATTATCTCCATTATTTATGTGTAATCTAATCTAATCTCTAAAGAGGTGGACAGATGGCGTTAGATAGCTTTCCAAATTACACCAATAGAGATATAAGTCTCTATGGTTACGCCTTTATTTTTAGCTTCATATCATGGCAACATTTTTATTTAAGATTTTAGCCGACTGTTGTTTTCAAATACGTATGAAAAATAAGTTTTCCCTTGGTGAATTTCTATCAATTTCTGTGCATTGAGTGTTTTTTCTCCGCCACTACAATTACAGAGCACAGTAATATTATTATTTCACCAGTGTAGTGCGTAACTCGCAACGCTTCATAATACTAAGTAAAATAAGTTGCGTGTTTGGATGTAAAACAACAGGTAAAGGTGCAATCAATACAGAAATCTTTATAAGCTTTACTAAGTAATAATTATAAATATTATGTAAGGTCTATTACCAGAGTTTGTTTCTTAGAACAAACAATTGAACGTCGTGTAACGAAAAAGGTCCTACCCACAATATTATTATTCTCTTTATTTATTTTATGTACATATCAATTATATTTTTAAACATACACTTTATTAACGTTAGTGTACACATATTGACTGCACGGTTGGCGTAGTGGTTTAAGCGGTCGCCACGCCGCTTCCTCCTGCGCTCAGTGTTGTGGGTTCGATCCCCACATGGGACAAATTGTTGTTCTGAGTCTGGGTGTTCTTTGTGTCCGTTTCATGTATGTTTCACCAGCCCACAGGATATATATTTCTTTGGAGTTGTTTTAAAAAAAATTGTATTGACTCAGTATATCTGTCTGTCTTATAAACAGTTGATATAAATAGTGGACCGGATATAACATTTGCTGTTTTATAATTAGATAGATTTCTGGATAAACCAGGAAAAAGTACTTGGAAGGCAGTGAAGAGAATATTACGTTATTTGAAAGGTACGAAAGACAAAGGTCTGGTATATGAAGGAAGCGAAGAACCTTAAGAGGTATTGACATATTCAGATGCTGACTGGGCCTCGGACAAACTAGACAACTTACCAACATAATTATTTAACTAGCAAAATGAATGTTGTGTAAAAGTAATTTTTAGAAATAAGAATGATATTGATAGGTAGGAAGAAACAGTTTAATTTCAGTGTTAGTTTAATTTGCGTTATGGAAGAGATAAGTTGGAAGAGATTAGTTTATTTGTACACAATTTCAATTATGAAATTGAGCAGGGGTGGTGGATATTACGAATACGCTATATTTACGAAAGAACAAAATATACCTGATAACCTGACCCAAAAACGATTCGTGTCAGAGTATTGTCAACAGCGAAACGAAAATCATAACTCCTAAACCTATCTCGAACAAGAAATAAAATATTACTAGTACTATTGACGTTCATCATTTCTATGAAGTTTATAAGCATAATGATGATAGGATCTTCATTAAAAACCTCAAAAAATGACAATATGTACTCTCATTCTTCCATTTTACTTTATATGACCAACCAAAAGTGATTGCTCATAAGGATGCTAAACATGCAAGATACGAGTGTTTGTAATTAGGTAGGCCTTATTTGTATCCCTTACCTTATACATATATATATAACTAGCTTTTGCCCGCGTAAATGTCGGTAATCGCGGTAAAAAGTTTCTTATGTCTTTCCCCAAGACTCAAAGTAGCTGCATACCAAATTTCATCTAAAATAATAAAATTTCATCCCCCTTTTTACCCCCTTAAAGGATGTTTTTTGGGATATCCTACGGGATATCCTTTCCCGGGACTCGGACGAACTCTGTACCAAATTTCATCTAAATCGGTTCAGTAGTTTAAACGTGAAGAGGTAACAGACACACAGACAGACAAACTTATGCATTTATAATATTAGTATGGATATGGATTATTTAATACTTTTTTCGTTTTTTTTTTTTAATTTAAAAGATACAGTTGTACATTTAATTGTATCTTCAAATAGATTTGTTCACGTTTTGAGCGACGCCTAAGAATTTTTAAGTAATAAGTCAAAATAAATCAAGGAATATTTTTCAAAGCCGGTCTAACTAAAGCAGTAATCAGAAGAAACCGAAACCGATGATTTTGTATTTGATTGATGACGACGTTTAAACGTTAGTATTTTTCAAACAAAATTCTTTCTGTTTATGCAGAGAAACGGTCAAAACTTACTATTTTACCTTTATCTTCTGACACTAGCAACATGATTACATGAATAATAGGTAATTAAGTAGGTAAATAAATTTAAGACCGTGTATTGCCACACTCTGCCTCCCAATCGTCGGGTATCAACTTACTAACATGGTCCTTGAATCGAGTGTATGTACACGGATCGTCACAGAACTTTGGTTTCAATTCTATTGGCTCTTCTATTTTGGAGTTGTTTCTGTAAAACGTCTGTAAAGAGTGAAATATACACGTTAATATTTTTTTCAGTCACTGTAACTGTTTAAAAACTCTGAAAAAACTTAACAATAATTGAATTGAACTGGGAAAGAGAAGAAACTGTTACTTTATCAGTTACTATAACAGTTTCTAATACTTTTTTATACTTATTCATGTTAATAAAAAAGAAAACTATAGTTAAACCGCCGTAAGCTTGGCCCTCCTGATGGTTTGCCGGACGCGGGGCGCGTGATGCGCTCGGCTATACATGACACGATGTACTAACTCGATATCTTCAGATTTATTTGTTTGAGATTTAATCTACACACGATGTAATAAAAAATCGAATTTATTTCCATGTATTATAATGTCAGTGTATTGTAAGTTTTTATGATTAATTGTAAAATTTAATACTGTAAAATAATTTTAATAAAATCACCTTATCTTCATCATGTAAATTATATTCAGATACAATTTTAAAAATTAAGTAAAATAATAAATATTATTTATTAGAACTTTAACAGTAGAACCTCTGTAAGCCGAACTTCAAGTTTTTAAATCTTTTTGTGACGCAGAGTCAGCAGATTATCCATGTTGCAAAATAATACCGTGTGTAGCAGTCTTAAGAAAAATAACGCGTACAGCCATGCTTTCACGTCAGTCACTGCCGGCGGACAGCGACGCACTAGCTAATTGGTTGAATGCACCCCCGCCCCGCGTCCCCCAAACCATCAGGAGGGCCAAGCTTACGGCGGTTTAACTATAGTGTTGTGTAGAATAGTGAAGCTAAACAATAAAAAGTCTGTATATGTAGAAAAACATTTTTATGATAATAATTTTACCGTGGGAGAGATGTTTTGGCACCAATGGGCTGGCTCAACTGAAGTGATACCAGGCCTCATAGAAAACTGACGTTAAGAAGTTCTTTGGTTGCTTTTCACCAAGACTGACTATGACACTTAGGGTGCAAGTGTACCATCAGGTGACGCGTCTCCTCGTTTGCCCTCCTATACCATAATAAAAAACTTCGTAAATGTTTTTTTGTAATGTTAACACTGAACATTTTGTGCTTTAATCGCTTTTGTGCACAACACGGTTCAAATACAAAAAAGTTTACCTTAACAAAAAAGGATTCATTTTCTACGTCCTCGTGCAATTCCAGCACGACGCTAGCGCCGTACTCCGGTTCAATCAGCTCTTCAAAGCCGAGAGCGCGCCACAACGACACTATGGTGGTGTCATGGCCAGAGTAAATGTATAGTGTACGATCCACATTAGAATGTACTGCGGTTTCATCGAAGTACTGCCGTATCTCTTTTAGAAGTGGACCTGAAAGAAACCGCAATATGAACTAGATAAAAAAATTACACAATTTTTAACTGTATACCATACGGTGAAAGACTGCCATTGCATTGTCATGGGCACAGAAATATGTGAAATTATATTACAACAATTATATTTAATTTCATTACTCATGGCGTGGCTTATCTAGAATACTTCTTGGAATACACACACTCCATGACAATCAGTTAAATTTAGTGTTTATATAACAAGGCGTGCCAGTGAAAATGTTTCTCTACATATAAAAATTGAAAGGTCCTGAGCAAAGCAGGAAAAAGGAGTAGGTATTGAACATTTTCAATATCACTGATATGATTGGTATCCATTTTACTTTCATTACGTTAACGTCAAATATCTAAAAATAGCGCAGCAGGCCTGGTATGGCTTTAATACTATTATCCAAAATGGTTTCTGGGACTGAGCTTAAAAAAAAAACCGCAAGTTTCTTCCTTAAAACAGTCAAAAATGGAATTGACTCTTAAATAATAAATTAAAATTTTATAAAATAAAAAGCTTACCTATTTGAAACCTTTGGAGAGATTCATTATAGGACAGCGTAGCTAGGCTCAACATGAAAGGAGTACGCATTTTAGACGGGAATACAGTTTTAGTCCAGTCCGGCAATTTTAGTCCTGCTTCTTGCTCCGTCAGAAGGGTGCTGTACAAGAAGTCAGTGTCCAATATACTCCGCAAGGTTTGGTTTGTGTGTTTAGTTAGATAGTCAAATAATTCTGTAAATTTCGGATCAGCGTCATGAGCAGCCAGCTGCTCTTTATACATTTCACTCCAAACTTTGCAGGGTTTTGTGGAACTAACTATCTGGAATACAATTATGTAAGATTAATTATAACAGAGATAGCAAGGTATTATGAGAACAATTCAAACTTTAAAATACTAGTGAGTGAAGTTTGAGCATTAGACAAAAATCTACTGTTATAGATAACTCATGAGACTTCAAGATCGGAGAAAATGATCTCAAAGCACGCCTCAAATTGAGGTTCGATGAAAATGCTTACAGAAAATATCTCATAGTGTCATAAAACAGTCATCTTATGTAGGAGTTGAACACACAATATTCTACACAGTCCACTTGGCGAGTTGAAGACTTTATAGTCAAGACATTTTGTTGATATAAACATTACGTATGCGCTATGTAGGGGCGGACTTTAGGGGTGGCGAGCAGGGCAACCGCCCAGGATCTCATTCATGCAGAGGCCTCGCGCAACAACCGAAGTAGAAAAATGTTCATTTGAATTTCGCGCCTCACGCCGTGTTTCATGCCGCCTGTCATTTTGACTGGCTTCCAGTCTCAATTATCTTCGGCTTATGTTTCTATGTTTGAGTTCGAGTTCTATGTATCATTAAAACGAATGCCACAAAAACAAGGGCCACGCAATGATCTACCTCCCCCGGGGCCTTGCAATGGCTAACACCGCCACTATGACCAGAGATTGTTTTTTTTTCTATTTTTGTATGAATGCTTTTGTTAATATTCTTAAATATTCACGTGATTCCGTATTGAGGTTGGACCGCCGATTGCTACGTCTATATATTTGTAACTAAATTATGTGTTAACTGTATACAATAAAGATATAAATAAATAAAATAAAATATTCATGGTGTGAGAATTTCGTGTGAAACTTTTTTAACATGATACCTATCAGGTTCTTCTTTTAAAAAATGTGCAGCATTCGATTTTCGACTTTCGACTAATAAATATTTGACACTCCTACACTAATGATGACAATCTTTTTATGTAATTTTGTGTATGAAAATATAATCAAAATATAATTAATGTTTAGCAGTTTAATCAAATAATTTGATCTACCAGTTTATTGTTACTTATATATATTTAAATTATAATGCACACAAAAACTTAATAATTCAAAAACAATATTTTGCAATGTGACTTGTGACGAATGATAGAGTAGAATGGAAGAATCATAATTACTCCGCCGACCCCAAATAAAATTGGCATAAGGGTAGGCAGATGATGATGATGATGATGTGACTTTATCAATTAATAATTTTTTCTTAATTTTTAGTTTTCACATATGAAAGACATAAGACTTACATTATCAAGTTCTCGTGGTAAAGCATGAACTGGTATGGGTTGCCATTGCATTTCAGGATGCCACATTTGTCTCTCTGTAGGTGGGAACAAGCCTGCCAAAAATGTGTAGGCACTCATCAAACACCTGGACCGGTCACTGCTGCGGATGAAGACATCTTTCTCATAGTAATCCTCCAGGATAAAGTTGGTATAGTAACTTCTGAATTTCTTGCCTAATTCATATAGCTGCAGTTTCCCAACCTACAATTTTTTTTCAAATTTATTATAATACTTTCACATTTTAATTTTGAAGTGATAACTTCTTATGGGAGGGTAAACCGCTTCGTTACGTAACGCGCTACGGCGCAAGTCTGTCTGGCTTCCCTTTCTCTCACGCATACGGCAGCGTTAGGCAGGCTCCTCCTCTCTCACTCTAACCCACAGCGCCAGCCGAATTTCGGACAGACGCTTTGCATAAAATTTAAGTAATAACCTAAGCTTTTCTCAAGTTAAACAATTTCAATATTAAATAGTTCAACTTAGATTAGTTTAAGGTATCACTTCTGTCGGGCGTCCCGAGACGCACACGTTTTTATTTTTTTGGGGAGGCCTATGTCCAGCAGGGAACGTCTTTCGGCTGAGTTGATGTTGATGATGAGATGGTTTTAATTTTTTTTAATATTTTACTTATGTCTGCATTTCTTATAAAAACTTGGCAGAGTTGTGTTTGTTGAGGTAGACTACCTAAGTCTAACTTAACAAATACAACTCTGCCAAGTTCATAAAGAGCAAACTTGAACTTAATGAGAGAAAGGATAAACTATTATTATTAAATGCCCTCAAGCAGTCTGTGCTGCTACTGTATAATTCTCCCAAACCGCATAGTTGTGAGATGTGTTAAAGTTTTAATATATATTTATATACTTACATTGGTTAAACTGCCAAACCCATCTGGCCATTGATAGTTTTTATATGGGTCGCTATTATAGGTTTTCACTGGTGTTCTAGCACCATGACGAAATAACTGAGGAAGAGTAAAGAAAACAAATTATTAGACATTAAAGTATTGTTAACATTTTCTGATTCAAATTACTCCTACTGTTGTAGTAGACATTAGCTTGTCTGATGGATGTAAGATAGCATACCCACAGTGTAATGGTCAACTTAAGATCATTCTACAGTGTGGCCACCAGCTGCTTTAACTTAACATAAGCCTCCAAAGTTTACCAGGATTTTCTTACACAGGTCATACACAAGCTATTGAAGGCAGACCCAGTCCTGGCACAAAACTGCATGGTTTAAATCAGTTAGATTATTTAACATATCACTTTACAATTACCTACAGTTAGGGGATGATTTACATAGGTTGCCACACACTAAAAGAAAAAGTTTAAACAATATAGGTTATTATCTCCAGTGTGTTATAAATATACAAGGATAATTCCCATTTGTGCCGACTTTCCTATTTTGTCGACTTTACTGAGATCTCATACATCTACAACATCTACAACAATGAAAATTCAGAATAAAGGTAATAGATGTTTGATATTTCAGTAAGTTGACAAAGTAGGTAAGTCGGCACAAAGGGAATCACATCAGGCATTTAAAGTAAACAGAACAATTTTTAAATTGCTTGTATGTTTTCATTGAGTCCAAAAAATTCAAGGAATTTCAACAGCAATATTCTTTTTAGAATAGCAGCAGTTCAACTTCAAACAATGTTTGATTGAGAACAATGATATCAAAATGCATTTATGTAGATTTCATAAGTCTATAGTGTTTAATAAATTATATTCAGAAGTACAGTTCTTTATCATCTGGTAGTATATTTGTTATTTTTACTTAAGTTATAAACAAGATTACAACATGAATTTTTAGTGTATAGGGTTAGAACAATAGTTAGTATTTAAACCAGTATAAAATTAAAGGAATATTTACAAAAAAAAAAATATGTTGACAACTATTCCATTCAGGCCTCATACACACATGCACATTGTCTTGTTTTTAAATAAGCAAGTATCCTTCGTCATGGACTTAAACAGGTTTAAATGTGGAAATAGGAACCCATTATTACTAATAAATATATTAACACTAACAAAAATAGTTCATAGGTTGATTCTGAAATATAATAGATATACTTTGAATGTTTACTTCAATAATAAAATATTTTACTTTAAGGGTAGGCCATATTTATAGTATAATTTCTATTATATTTAGCAATTTTTAAAGGTACTGTTTATGAAAGGGTAAAAATTAAAATGAAATTTAAACAGTTGCAATTAATAGATTATATTATCTACATGTTTAAGTAACAGCATTAGCAAGATTAGCAATTGCCTTAATATTATTTACTTTATTAGGCTAAAATTTTTACTTACAATTATCACAAGTCTCAGTGTTTTGGATTCGTGGGGCAGTGTTTCACTGAGGACACAGTAGCCCAGCAGACAGCTGAGGACTGCTAATCCTAAAACCACCACAGCTACACTTGTTGATCTCTTGGGAATTTGTTGACATGTCGTCCGCTCTACCTTCGGTATTGATGGCCTACGCCATGTGTTTTCATCATTATCGTATTCCATTGGAACTGAGTCGCGAATGATTGAATACATGAATTATGCTTATCAATATCAATCGTTTTAAGCGATAACAATGGACAATCCGTAACTATACACCTTATTCAATTATGCTATTCATGAACATAATGCACACAAATATTTTGATATACTGTATTTTTACGTTACAGAAAGAACGAGAACACATAAGGTTCTAATAAAACTTTGTTCTATCAAACTTTTATATTTTGTACTTTTGTAGATAATAAAAAGAGGTCTAAGGTTCAGTTAGGCAAATAGTTATTTAATAAACATAATTATCTAGTCATTTGATGCTTATTATTCTTAGACCGAAGCACCAACCCAAAATATACTTATACAAATAAACCGGAATCACTGATAGTGTCCGATAGTGATCTACTGACAATTGACAATATTGAATGAATTGCCTTCACTTTGACTTGACATAAATATCTTGATGGAAATGGAAGGGTAAGAGTTGTCAAAACACATAATTCTTCATTTGTCGATTGGAGGGATTAAATACGAAGATAAGATAAGAAGGTTAAACCAAAAAAAAAACACGTGAAACCACTTTCAGACAATTTTGGTAGAAATTAAATGATTATTTTTTGTAAAGAGTTGAATTGGCCAAGTGAAGCTGTAACCGCTTTTCTTATCAGGCGGACTACTCACCGGCTGACCCAGTGGAGAGATTCACAAGATTACCTCAGGGCGCCTTTTATTAAACAGAAGTGTGTGCGTGTGGGATACCTATGGGACCCCTTAGAGAAAAACAACTTACACCTCAGTCATACATACATGTATATTTAAAAAAAAACAAAATTAAGGTTACAATAAAAAAAACAGAGGGTATAAGAAAAACCGCAGCGGAGCGCTTCAGAGCCGAGCTGATGGTGCTCGGTGCCTCCTCGTCTTCACTCCAGGAGGTTACTTCCTCTTTCGCCCGAGTCGGCTATTTATATTAGATATTGAGAAAAGTTCAACAATTGGTATTTATAAGTTTATAAGTAAGTACGTGACCCTTGGGTACGGCTGTCCGCTTGCTTCGTGAGCCGCGCAATCACCAGCTTGCCAGAGGGTACCGAGAAACTTGAGTCTGAACCAGAAGGCCACAAACGAGCAAGCACGCCGTCTGAGACTGACCGTCTTGACCCCGAAATCTGGGACCGTACGAATGGATTAGCACTCATATAATTAATCAGGTTCCAGAAACAAATAGGTAAAAAAAATTAAGACCATACTCACCACTCTCGTGGGTACTTTTGAACAGATAATATATTACGAAAATCAAATCACACAACAATCAAAACACTATTTAAGATAGGAAGACACGAGATAGCAGAGTGTCTCCCGTGGCTGAAAGCCGGACTTATATATCTTCGGTTCCCGAAGCTTCCAGAAATTACCCCTACTCAACATTTTACTTTGACATTTGAATTATCGACGAGGATTACACGAACAAAATCAAAAGTAACTCGCTTTCTACCATAACAAAACACTCTCAATACCTATACAATTTGTCACGACAAATCAATGAACTGACTTATCAACAAACAAACGCCATCTAGTGGTCCGACAGTGAACGAAGAAGATCAATACTGTAGTTTTATACTACTTTAGATAAATCAACAACAATGCGACGCGGCCAATAGGTGTCGCTTTTAACAAGACCGTACGCATTACAAATATACTAAAAAAATAACTGTTACAAAGCCTACTCAACCAGTAGCTTTCAATTGGGGCTCCACTTGGCCGTTACTCTCTAACTCTTTACTTACTTATTATGTAGAAACTAGCTACCACCAATGCTCAACTTGTTAACTAACTGATACATACTAGAGGTAAAGTTGCCCAAGGGGCCAAAGGAAATATGAGTGCCACCATGGAACATGATTTCGCCATGGTACGGAGCGTGTGCGAGTGCGTGGAACTCCGCCGTCTCCTTCTGCGAGCAAGTTATGATGACTCAGGTGCCGGTGGTCGCAGAACGACCTTCGTCCTTCATAAGCTCAGGCGTGGGGGTAACAGGTGAGGCCATCTGTCACCCTAACAGAAGCAGACTGGGGTGCGCTGTGGAGTGCGCGTGGCCTTTCGGGAGCACAAAAGGAACAGGGGGGTCCCTACATAGGAGAGGGTCATCTACACGCCGTAGCTGACCTGAGGTACGTTGCGGTATAAGGGATTTCCTTAGGGTACAAGGGGTTCGCTGGTACTCTAGCTACTGGTACCCGAGACGGCGTGCGGTTTTTGGTCGGTTCGAGTCCGATATAATCATCCCACCATCCATGGTGATTTCCAAAAAAAATAAAAATAAAAAGGGGCAAGGGACATTTGAGAAATTAGCGAACTTCGGTATTACTCTCTTAATGCTGCTTTATTTAAATGCCGGAGTTGAGATACTATAGGTATAAACAAAAGAATAGAATGAAGTTAAACCTTTTATTTGCTATGTTAAGAATACGCTGTCGTTTTAAGTTGAAAGGAGAATGCTGCAACAAATATGAAATTATCTTATTAATTACATTTTGACGTGACAACGTCTTATAATTCGATAGAGCCGGCTGCACGCACGAAAAAACATGACTTATGCGGCGTTACCTCGCTCTGAGGCGTTCCATTTAAGGTATGAAGTGCAAGCGAGAGCGTGGAACGAGTGACAAAGAGGCACAATCGGCCTCCGCGTTCGGCAGCGTTCGACATCTGTCTCTCTCCTACTTGAGTGAGCGATGCATCCGCGTGGACAACTGCTACTCGTATACAATAATACATTCTTGAAAAATGCAACCATTCCATCAGTATTTTCTTAGGACGTTGTCACGTTCAACAATCGTCAGTAAACCGACTTTACAGACAACCGATTTTTTCATATTATCTTATTAATCTGGAATCGACGATGATGGTGCTGACAAAAACGATTAGTATCAGTATCAAATTTTAATAAAGGAAACTAGTTATTAATATACTTATGGTTTTCTTTCGTAATTACTAAAAAAAATGTTTAGTGGAAAATTTAGTGCCTATTAAAGTAGGGTCGTTATTCGCTAGTGGTTTTCTGGTAGTTTTAGATATTGAATCTGGTGGTTTATTTAACTGTTGGCAGCACTGATTAGAACATCCTGCTATTAAATTGACAAATGACAATAGGGCTTGAGTGTTTATGTTACAGTTACGGCTAAGTTGTTCGCCACGTATTTTTTATTTCAGTTTTTATAATTTTAAATTCTTATTTTTCCTTGTTACGCGCATTTTATCCTTTGGTAACTAATCAATATTATGTGAAAGTAGTAAATTTTAATATAATTTTTCAATATCTAATTCATAACTAGAAAAATATTGACATGTTTTGTTATTGTGTATTCTTTAACTTTAAATGTTGTTATAAATGAACACGAGCTTTTTAGCGATGAATTAAAAAATACTTCTCGTTTAAAAAAAATATAAGTGCAGTTGTGTCATCAGCTTTATTATTTACAGAATTCAAGAACTCGAGAGACAAATCAGCATAAAAATATGCCTCACTTTAGTGGTAGATGTCTGAGCACTGCTAAGCTTCTTGGAAAAACTGCCTTAGTTACTGGTTGTAACACTGGCATAGGAAAAGAAACTGTTCTGAATTTTTATAAGAGAGGTAATGTATATATATATTTGTTTCTAAATAATATTTTTTTAATTAAAAATAAACATATTTTGTAAGTGGGTTAAAGAGCTACCTACCAAATATGTTTATGCTTAGCCTGCAGTTCAAGTTTATTATAATATGTGTAATAATATCTATTATCGTCTGATATAATATTTATTATAATTTGAGGGACACAATGTATTATCATTATCATCATCAACAGCCTTTACTAGTCCACTGCTGGACATAGGCCTCTCTTTAGGAAGGAGGTTTTGGCCTACTATACCACACTGGCCTGATGGGTTGGTATAGGGTTTGTTTCAAGTTTTCCTTCTCTCTGCAGTGCTGTTGTCCTGCATAGTTTGCTTCCTTAGTCGCCTCTTACGACACCCACCGTATGAATAGGGATGGTGACACTCTGTATTCCTTATCCGTCACCACACAGACTCAATGTATACACAATGTATTAAGTAAAACATAAGTACAACACATTGATTTCTGTGTCTGACAAGGATCAGACATTTTTCAAGTGAAAAAAAGTTAATGCTGGTCCAGCAGCCAGTAACATAGTAATTTGTGGGACCAAATTTTATTACATTTGTAAACTTGAAAAAGAGATAAATTGAGAAGTAATCGAAAAGTGAGCTTCTGATAACAAATCGACATTTAAAACTTTATACTTTATTGCATACTAGTTAGTGATAATGTGATAAAAACTACCAATATCTCTATTATAAACATATATATCTAAATTTGCGATTATTATAAGATAAGCAGTATTGCAAACCTCTATTACACATTTTTGCAGTTTTGTCAATATTTTTAGTGAATTTAGTGCTGAGTTACTGTATCCTAAGCCTGTTACTTAAAACTGTGGTGAGTTATGTGGGTCTGAATTTGGTCCAATTTAAACCCAAAAAGACAAAATAGGTATTGTATCCCGTATGGTATTCCCTTGGTTGGAGAGCACCTCTCTCAGTGTGCCTCAGCCAGTATCGGAGTATCGAAATCCTTGGCATATATATGTCTAGTGAAGTCCAGTTTCCCGGTTATTTAAAGGGTAACTTAGCCTCAAAGAAGCTTGGTGTGCAGAATAGATTGAGGCTGTATTTCACTCCGGCCTACCGCCTTCAACTCTATAAGCGGCAAGTCTGGCCGCATATGGCATACTGTTCGCATCTCTATGCAGGGGCAATACATTATCTCCCTCTGGACCGCATCAAACGGCGAGCGACATGAATCGTCGATAACTTGATTTCCGATCGGCTCGACACCTTGACGTTACGTAGAGATGTAGTTTCACTCTGCATTCTCTATCGTATGTACCATGGAGTGAGGAATTGTTCGGACTAATACCGTCCACGATCGTTCCACATGGCGAAATTTTTATCCCCATCACACCACCACTGTGCGCATTTCAAGACAATTTTTGCCTCGTACAACCAATCTATAGAACAAATTATCGCCTGCGATATTGCCGGACTTATACGATCTTTCTAACTTTCAAGATAAAACCCTACTCCCACCTCAAAATTCAACGCGCTTGTGACTCCTGAGTTGCAGACGTTCATGGGCGGCTGTGGTCACTTTCCATCAGGGGATCCGTCTGCTCGTTTGCCCCCTGTACCATAGATAAATCTACATTTCTTTTCTTTTTTTCCAATAGTATTTTATATACAGTATAATTTGATTATTGAGGACCGTATCAGAAATCGCATTAAGACGCGACGGGCCGCCACGCTACAATTGAGGGGGAGTGTTTTCCCTGATCAGGCATGATGTCGTTTTGGGGAGGACCTGAAATAACATGGTCCGGGCCCTCCCAGGCGCCTGAGGCTGGCCGTCGGGGTGTTTTTTAGTGGAAACTCCACATACTCCTGAGTCCCGAGGAATAGCCACCCCGTCAAAAAAAGGACCTTATCGGAAAAATTACGTTTGAAAACGCCTTTAGAACAAAGGTGGCGAGGGCACATCAAAAGTGTGCATAATAGAAGTGTGCACAAAGAATTTTTTTTAAACTAATACTCAAATTATCACGTTGAAAACTGGCCAGTTTATTTTTTAGATCTGAACTTTCTTAGCCTGTACTAAAAACAAAGCAAACAAAATAGCACAGGTGAACAAAGTAAATACATTTCAAAAATTGTTATACGATGTCTCCCAGAGGGGGCGACTGGAGTGTTTTAAAGAACTCGTGTCAATGTCAACAAGTTCTGCTGTATGCAAAATATAAACGCCTGTATCTTTATGGGAGACAAAAGGAATTAGTTTAAAAAAATATTGCAATATCCACCAGTAGCATAAGCAGATGTGGGCAATGAGAATCAGTTTCAGTGCAGTTTTCTGTAATGTTGAAGTTTTAAAATTATGTGTGACTTCTTATTTATAAGGAACTAACCGGTACCCGCGACTTCGTTCGCGTAGAATTTTGGCTGCCTTAGCGGGTTCGATGCAAAATTTTTAAGGGGTTTTTCTGAGAGGAATAAGAATAGCCTTATGTAGACAGCTATCTGATAGTAAAATATTATCGAAATCGGTCCAGCCGTTTAGAAGATTACCCGGAACAAACAGACAGACAGACAAAAAAAAGTGGTTTTTAGGCAAAGGTATTGTGCAAATAACCGTGTGAGCATGAAAAAAACCTATAATTTTGACATTACTAACAGACACTTCAATTTTATTTATTTGTATAGATAACATTTTTGTAATCTTCAGGTGCTAAAGTGATCATGGCTTGCCGTAGCATAGACAGAGCCGAAGAAGCGAAACTTGATATCGAGAAGAAATGTAAGGATTTAAGCGAGACTGGCACAATTGTGTTAGCAAAATGTGATCTTGGTTCATTACAGTCTGTGCGAGAATTCGCCCAAAGCATTTTAGATACGGAACCACAAATTAACATACTTGTGAATAATGCCGGAGTTATGATGTGCCCTAAAAGTGAAACCGAGGATGGTTTTGAAACACAATTTGGAACCAATCACTTGGGACATTTTTTGTTGACTATGCTACTTCTACCACGCATTAGGAATAGTACTCCAGCCAGGATAGTGACTGTTTCATCGGGGGCGCACAGGCGTTAGTATTGATTATCATTATTTTAGCACGTTATGTAGCTGAAGCTCTTTTGCAAGACCTTACCATATGAGTGATAATGTATTTATATACAAATGTAATGTTATCCAGGATCGGCCGTTAATTTTGATGACTTGAATTATAACACGAGGACATACAAAGCCGCTGAAGCGTACGCACAAAGCAAATCTGCCAACATATTATTTTCTAGAGAACTAGCAGCCAAACTTAAGGTAGGCAGCTCTGAAGAAAAGCGTATTTATTTTTTACCTCACTCTGATATTTCTTTATCACGTTTGGTTTCATTCCGACGTGAAAAAAAAACCAAAATGAAGGAATGAAAAATAAAGTTTATTACAATTAATTATAAGCCTACATGGCTCATTCCACCGACCGACACAAAGACCGACTTTCGGTCTTTTTAAAAAGCCTATTATAGTTATGTCAGGAAATTTATAAGATAAAGATGATTTTTTATTGACAGGAACACAATATAGAAGGTATCAATACATACAGCTTACATCCAGGCATGGTTAAGACTGAGCTGGGTCGTCATTTGGACGACTCGTTATTCAGGGGTGCTCGGCAATTAATTGGCTTTATGTTACGGCCCTTTATGAAGACGGCCGAGCTTGGCGCGCAAACATCGATATACTGCGCAGTAGATGAGAAGTGTGCTAATGAAACTGGATTGTACTACAGGTAAATTATATAACAATAACTTCACACATCTCACACACGGCTGTCTGATCACAAACTAGGCAGAGCCTGTCACCAGACTGCTGATAAACATCCTTATATAATTTTAAATGTACATACATGTTATAGATAAATTATACCCAGACACAGAACAAATCATCGTGCTCATTACACAATTATATATCGAATTCACGACATCTGGCTTCAGCAGTGAGGGTCATTAACTGTCATTAAATGTCACGGAGAAGAGAGTGGGCTTACCGGTATATGGTGGAAGAATATGGAAATATGGTTAGTTAACTCTCGAAGTGACGAACAGTGAAAAAGGTTTACTGTTTACTTGATTTGATTGTACGGATGCGATTCTTAAAGAAAAGTCTACATGACGTGTACTCCGTTATTCGTACTAGAGACTTAATGGGAAAAGAATAAGAAATATTGTAGTTTCGTATTAAAATACGATGTCAAAGAAATTCGAAGCGACACTTAACCACTAAAAGCCCACCCAGGTGTTCCTATTCTTGCTAACGGCCGGGAAAGCGAGAATCGCAATTGCATTCTTCCGCCACCCCTGGCATGCATTGACCCGTCTTGGGTAAGACGGGTCTTTTTAACCGTTGCGACACCCTGTCACCCTTCGTTAGCAGTTCTCTATAAGCGCTCACGGAACATTAACCACTAACTACGTAACCAGTGTAGTCCCAACCTATATTCTCGTAACTAGGATCTGGTCTTCCACGGGTCATGGTCGTATTCTCACGTCCACTAACTTACCAATAACAGTAACAAATACGATAAACAACACTGTTACGTATCCAAACCGACCGAAAATTTCCTTTTTATTCTGGATTCTGTAAAAAAAAACCGAACCCTTATAGTAGGGGAGACAGTGATGCTAGTACCAGGGACTTCCTTTCTAGGGTATACCTGGTTCCCCGGCTATTAGTACCCGAGACGGCGTGCGGTTTTAGTCGGTTCGAGTCCGACATGCCACCGACAGGTGGTATCCGAGGGGATTTCCGCACGGAAAAATAAAAATAAAAAAAGGGAGACCGTGATGCTAAATGGGGATTCACTCGAGCGTCTTGAGGACCTATTGCATTTGAAAGATTAGGTAATAGAATTAATAAAAGTTATATAATGTTTCCACTTTCAAAAATGTAAAGGGAGGAATTCGAAAAAAAATATTCAGGCGCTTCAGACATTTTGGGGATTTGTTATTTGAATCTGATGGTTCGTCTCGCTGCCCTAGACGCGCGGCTCTATATGTACATAGGGCTCATGTATGGACGATGTACTCAACTGGGTGTAGGGCATTTCTTCTATGTTAATGTGACACGCTCGAGTAAATACCGAAACCCCACATGATGGATCACATGATGGAAATTGACCATCGCCGCCCCCCATGAAGTTCTGCAACTCAGGAGTCACAAACGCGTTGCCGGCCTTTTATTAGAGGATTACTTTGTTGTCCGTCTGTCTGTCTGTCAAGACCCTTTATCGTGCGTAATGGGTGGAATCGAGTTGAAATTAACCATATAGTCAGGTCTTCAGGTCAGTCCCTTGAAGCGGTGAAAAAAATCAAACTTCTCAGTTAAAGTAAAAAAATGATATACTATTTCAACTACTTTTCTATGCCATATATATTTTGTATGTAATTTACAGCGATTGTGTAGCTACGGCGCCCATGGCGACAGCGGCGCGTGACGAAGACGCTAAGAAACTGTGGGACGTGTCAGTAGAGATGGTTCGTCTCGGTGATTTCAATCCATTTACAGCCAATGACCCAGGCGTTAAAACTAAGTAATGTTTCAAATAAACTATTTGATTAAGCATTGAATTTATACATTTGTATAATTTAATTTATATTCTGATTCCATTTTCATGGTATGAATAATATAATACTCATTAAATCCGTCCTGAATTTATTATTCGTCTCTTAGTTTTTAAGTACTTTTGAAGAATCAACTTGTTTTTGATTTTTTTATAAATAATATATATTTTAATAAATTATTATACACTGGTGGAGGAGGTAGAGATATCGTAAAATAAGTAATATATTATTTCATGTAGAATGATTCAATAAAATAATTTTTACTATGTCTCCTTTTTTTTGCATATGTAGGTACATCCCTTTTCTACGAGTCTTGACATTTTCGTAAATGGTTTATAATACATCAATCAAAATCATCTTCTTCGGTCGTCGTTGCTGGAACAATTCTGAAGATTAATTATCAGGGTAGCTCAATGGCGTTGTGATTGGATGATAGACGGAACAGTGTGTGGTATATTTCATGGCTTTTTAATCCAAAATATATATGTTGGAGTTCTGGGTTTGATATAGTAACCAAGTTTAGTAATTATTTATTTTAAATAATAACCTTATTGGCCTTTGCTCTTATTTTACAACCATTCTTAATTTCTAACAATTTCAGTAATCAAGTTATTTTGTATTAAGTGTTTAATATATATAATATATATATATATTTTACACTAGCTGACCCGCGCAACTTCGTCTGCGTCTCTCAATAGTAATAAATTTTCTCCGTTTTTGAAACATTCTTCATTGGTGCTCCGTTCCTATTGGTCTTAGCGTGATGATATATAGCCTATAGCCTTCCTCGATAAATGGGCTATCTAGCACTGAAAGAATTTTTCAAATCGGACCGGTAGTTCCTGAGATTAGCGCGTTCAAACAAACAAACAAAATCTTCTGCTTTATAATATTAGTATAGATTACATTCACACAACGCCATCTAGTCCCAAACTAAGCAGAGCTTGTACTATGGGTACTAGACAACTGATATAAATACATATATACTTTTTTTTTGTACATACATACATTTATTTATTTTATTTATTTATTTATTCAGTAACAATAAAAATTGTGTTTGAAATGCTTACATGTTAACTTAAGTTTCTAACGAATTTAATTTATATAATGCAATACAAATAGATAAATATAAAAACAAACACATGCAGTCAAAAATTCAATGTCATTAAAATACTGTCAAAATTGTGGTTAGGTAATTTGAAGTTGTCTCCGGGTTTATTATGTAATATACAGTGCCACCAACTTATCTGTTCAGTAGACAAAATCGGAACTAAATCTGCGTCAATCTGCGTGTCAGTTTACAAGGTGTGGGTGCTCTCTGTGTTTATCATTTGATTTTATTATTAAAACTACAATTAAAATGCCGAAAGCTCTTAAAAGTGATGCTAGAGTTATTATTTTAAAAGTTTTATCTTTTATGAACGAAGAAAAACGCCTCCAATCTCCAAAAATACCATTTGAAAAAGTGCCACAACGTGTTGCTGCCGCTACAGGTTAGTGTTATAGTCTAAGGACAGTAAAATTTCCCACTTAAATTATTTTAATATTCAGCTTATGTTTCATATTTTATTGTCTATATATATCCACTTAAAATTAGAAATAAAACTGATACGTCGCCCCCACTACTACTAACTAGTGCACCATTTTACTATTCTTTATTTTCATAAACGTTAAACGTATACCTACATTGTGTTCACTGTTTATTCCACCCGAATAAATAAAAAAATAACATTATTTCTTAAGTTTGATGAGCTACTTTTTGTTACAGGTGTTAGTGAGCGATTTGTTTATAAATTAATGAATGAAGAAAAACGAGCAGAAGAAACTAATACTAAAATATGTACACCTGGTAAAAACAGGGAAAGGAAAACAGGGAAACTAGAAGTTGATGACTTTGATATTGGTGTGATTAGGAGAAAAACCCATGAATTTTATTCAGTAAAAAATGAAATTCCTTCTGTAACCAAGCTATTGAACATTTTAAGAGAAGATATCAATTTCCAGGGGAAACTGATATCACGACCACAATTATTTTTATAAAATATAATGTAACTAGTTTGGTATAATAAATCGTATTATCTGTCTGCAAAACAAAATATTTCTTTCTTTTCAACTAATTTATAAATTATATAGTTAATTAATAAACTCCGATCAATATTTAAAATTACAGCTCACGTGATTTCGTATGTTTCAAATACCCTAAACTCCTGATAATTTTTTTAAATAGCAACACCTATCGCTCCAGTAGCGACGCCGTCTACTGAACAGATAAGTTGGTGGCACTATACCAATATGAATATCGATAAAATACCGGGGGGGGGGGGGGGCGGGATACAATTTATAAAATTTGCAATTTTTCCACATCCATGAATAGACCATTCACTCAGTGCTCAAAATCCGCCACAGAATAATAACACTTTTCTAGCAATAATTCCTTTAATCGGGATTTGAACATGTCTGTGTTATAAACCATCTCTTTAAGATGGACAGGTAATCGATTAAATAACTCGACCGACTGATGTCGAGCGCAATGCATGACTATATTTAGTTTATGTGCTATTTTATTTTTTACAGCTTTTCGCCGTGTTAATTCTCTTTCACGTCCTGTCTCATATTCGTGTATGTACTTAGCGAAGTTGGTATGTATAGTTAAAATGTATAAGAAAGGCAAGGCCGTCTTAGGCCACGCCGAGGCCCCTGGGCACACAAGAATTAGGGGCCCTGTTGGACAGTTAACAAAATGAATGATGAAAATATTTTTAGTTATGATCTTTTACTTAAAATGATTTATTGGCAACAATCAAATATACCTATAATTAGAGATATTTATTAGATAGATTTACGAGTAAGTATAGTAGATATAAATATGGGATGTTAATTAGACAAGCATCTTTGAATTGATGGTTTGAATCAGTTAGGTACAATTACGACAGTGATTTTTTCGGGATTTCTGTTGTGCAAATTCTTCTATTATATCTTCAAAGTAAATTTTTTTGAGGATATCATTTTGTATACACATAATTGATAAATACGTTAGTCGCTCTTGTGACGCTGATGTTCGTAATTCATTTTTTATTCGCTTTAACTTTGAAAATGAGCGCTCTCCGCTGCAATTGGTAACCATTAGGCATAGAAACATTCTTGTATCCACTTCAACATTTGGAAAAGTTTCTTCTAATCTGTCGGAGTTTATTAAATTATGTTTGAGAGTTTGAGATACTCAAATCAGCTGATTCCTTTGATATATTCTTTAAATAATGTCTTAAATGAAAACACTCTGATTTGAGCTCATATGCATTAATGTCTTCGTGATAGAATTCTTTAAATTCATTGCATTTTTTTGTTAACTCATCAGAATCAATTGTTGTTAATTGTAAAAGAAAACTAAAACGATCGTGCATTTCTTGATACGCTACCAAACCATTTTTTTAATGTGCAAATAATGTTTCTATTAAAGGGATAAATGTATCTATACGAAATTTTTCCTTCCCATGCAACTGCACAGTCTCTGCTGATCCTTCAAAGAAAGTAACGCGTGGGCTGCGAATTCTATTCCTGTCAAATTTATCTTTATAATCAGCATTTGGTTTTTTTTCTTTAGCAGCTAATTCATATTGATCAAAATTATTGCGTGCGTTATTGACGTACTCGATGAGAGATGCGTAAAGCTTTGTGGCAACGTCCATGGTAATAGTGCTATCCTGTAAGCTTAAACTCGTTTTGTTCATAATTCCCAAAAAATCATTCAATATTTCCGTTAAAAGTATTGTGTTCAATTTTTCCATTTTTTTTTAATAGGCTTTGCGCTTCGTTTCTTGTTTCTCCTGGTTGATTGTCATCACTTACTATCGAGGACAAAGCTTCAGAAATATTTAAATAACCATTTTGTAAGGCATTAATGGCATTTGCACGTGCAGACCATTTAGTATCCGGCACAGACTTCAAGACTTTATGTGTACCTATTTGCTCTACCATAATTTTCGTTTGGTCGAAGCCGAGAAGAAATTAAATTTTTTTGTATAAACTGAAAATATGCTGCAGCTTCGGAAACACAATCAATAGCTTGAACACCTACTAAATTTAGCGAGTGTGCTGCACATGCGACAAAAATGGCAAATTTGCATTTTTCTTTTATTCTTGACTGAACACCAGAATACTTTCCAGCCAAATTTGATACATTATCATAACTCTGTCCATGACCATCTTTTATAGGAATATCGAGGCTTTCCAAAAAGTTCAAAATGTTACCTGCTAAGTATTCTGCATTATGTTTATCTATAGGCAAGAACTGTAGAAATCTCTCAATAGACTCTCCATCTTTTACGTATCTAACGATGAAAGTTAGTTGGTCAACGTGAGAGAGATCTGGCGTAGAATCCACGCTTATAGAGTAGTATTTTGCTGATTTTATTTCAGTCACAATTGTTTTTAAAACTTGCTGTCCCATTATATTGATAAATTCATTACAAATATTTGCAAACAAATATGATGTACTTCCTTTTCCACAATTTCCGCAGTTCCGCATATGATCAGAAAATAATCAAATTCACCAATCAGTTGTAAGCATCCTAAATAATTTCCATTGTTTTGAGACCCCATAATCTCATTATCACCACGAAAAGCAAGACCTCTATAAGCCAAAAATTTCACTACTGCAACTATTCTTCTAAGTACATTCTTCCAATAATTGACTTCTGTATTATATTGGGATAGTAACTCACTGTCAAGTCGTCCAGTAGATTTGCTTCTTGCGACATAATTCATCATTAATTGCCTGTGCTGTAAATTATTCTCATGCTCAATTAATAAGTTACTTATATGCTTCCAATCTTTATATCCATTTGGAGAACTCAAAGTACATCCAGTACCTGTACTAGTATTAAATAGACGTCAGCAGTACACAGATTTTCTCAAAGGTGAATAAAGGAGCCATTTTCTTTCTAACGACTCGCCATTCGTCAATTTACGGGTAA